GAGGGGCTAGGTGAGGCTCAAGGGCCCGGCCTTTTCGGGAAGAGGATCTCCCGGCAGTGAGGCAAGGAAGCCGAGGCTCCCCCCGAACTGCTAGGGCTCTAGTGAACCGAGGGGGTGCTCCTCAAGTGGCTGTCGAGGGGCATTTACAGAGGCACCTCTGCACCCCTGGCAAAAAAAAGTGTACTGCAACCGCTTACTTTGCATAATGGACGAGTCGCCCCTCCCTATGCTGAATTTCCAAACACTTGTTCAAAAAGCCAAGTTTTAACTCTTTTTCTGAAGGTCAGGAGGGAGGGGGGCAATCTAATATCCCTAGGAAGGGTGTTCCACAGCTAAGGGGCCACCACTGAGAAGGCGTTGTCTCTCTCCCCTGCCAGACGCGCTTGCGAGGAAGGCGGGATCAAGAGCAGGGCCTCCCCAGATGATCTTAAGTTCCAAGATGGTTCATAAGGAGATACTGCTTTAGAACCTATGTTTAATACTGGTTATCGACCAACATTTTATTTTTATACACACACATGCACATAACAAAATGTTTTTAGAAATTGTAATCACATGTAGATTTTAAAACTTGACTTTTAGTCAAGTGTGGAAAGGCTTGCTGTTTGTTAAACAAAAGCATCAAAGGGATATTAACTCTTCTGTCATTTAACATGTGATGCTTTTGTGTGCGGAAATCATTACTCTTATGTTGGAATGGACCAAGATATTAGCATATCTTAGTGATCACAATTTTTGAAAATATACGGAAATATTGAAAATATATGGAAATACCTCTAATATAAAAGCTTTCATAAACCAATCTCCTTTCAGATAAATCACGTTAGAAAAAAAGAAGCTGGTGATAGAAGGCCTCAAACATAACTGTTAACTGAGTGAGATAATAGAAATCTTTCTGTGAGTGCTAGAACATAGTAGTAATACATTCAGTATGTTCTAATACACACCCACATTCTCTATCTCAATTTTTGTCTGCCTAGTGTTGCAAATGCAAGGGTTGTTTGGTTCAAAACATTTTATATAATTGTTTAGCACCTATGATGGCTAATTTTCTTGATAATTTTTTATTCCAGAGTTTGTTTTTTAAAAAAACATCCCCCAAAAGACAAGATAGTGTGAATAAAAGGCAAATCACTAAGACACAGTACATATTTTATTTTTAAAAAAGCATAAAAACTAAATACATGCTTCAGAAAATTTGATCTTTTAAATGTACATTTGCTTTTCTTCTTAAGCCGCTGCTGCAGGAAACTTTAGCTATATTCTTATGCATATTTATTTGGGACTAAATCTATTGATGTCACTGAAACTTAATTCCAAATAAAGAGGCACAAGTGAGACCTGCAACAAATCATTAGTGTGGAGTATTTCTGTGCATGGCTTCAACCACTCTACTCCACTATCTTCCTTCTGTATTTTAAATTTCCCCCAAACATTAGCTAACATTCTGTTCCCACTGAGTACGCTAAGTCTTCATTGGCGTGCTTTGCTCATCCCCTCACTTTAGTCCTTTTGTACTTCTGCAAACCTCACTGCCGTCTCCCAAGAAAGAAATTCACCACCTCTCTTTTGTGCATGGATGGTGCAGTTTTGGGTTCTTAAGGGCTGGAACTGAGTTCACTATTAGTACATATATACAGTACTTCAAGATTAGACTAGTAATCTTGTCTTACTCTGCAGAATATGAAAATACAGGTATAGTTGAAAGACAGCATAATTATTTAAGAATTACATTCTTACCAGTTACTTGTTGGAACATTTTGTGTGAAGGGGATAATGTCCAATGCAACCATGTTGAATTATTCCAGAAGTTTTGGAAAGGGTTTTGTAGAACATATGTTTGTGGCAATTGATCATAAACATTCAAAATAAGCTATTTCAAATTAGGCTGAAATTGAAGAATGAAACATGAAACTTGGATCTTTATCATAAGACATTATAGAACAACTGCTTGGAATACATTTATTTGGTCTCAACTCTGCTACTTCATTTCAGATGTCAACTATAACATTTTCAATGCTTACTGTGTGTAGGGCCTTCAAGTCACCTGTCAACTTATGGTGACCCCATGAATTTCATAGGGTTTTCTTAGACAAAGAGGTTTTGTCACTTACTTTCCTTGAGATATAGCCTATATCACTAGGTATTTATTATCTCCCATCTAAATACTAACCAAGGCTGATTTTGTTTAGCTTTCAATATCTAATGCTTTTAGGGTATAGACCACTATTAATATTCCATCAGTTTCACTAATTTTTGTATTAGCAAGAACCACAACAATTTACTGGTTCTTAGTAATATAGTTTTGTGATGATATGCTCACCAAATACCACAGTTAATGAAGCCATACTGCTGATGTTTGTATAAAGAACTTTTTTCTAGATCCACTTATTGTGTTGTAACTGTTTGTGATCTTTCTAATATTTCTGCACATATTTTATGATAACTTAATGGAAATTGATTAATAATTTTTTTAGCAGCCCTTCGCCATACCATTTTAATTGCCAGCATACATCAGATTTCACTCTACCTATACCTTATATAATATACATGTAGTGGGCAGGTTTGGGTTCCAAAATTATAGATTTTTGTATGTCCTGTAGATAAGCCAATAAATGAAAGGCAGCACCAAGCCCCTCTGACATGTTGCCACTTCTGACATTTTTGAATAGTTTCACATTTACTGATCAAAAGCAATGGTTGCCAGTTGAATCCTGTTTCAACACTGGCAATGGGACGGCATCCTCTAATGCACTTAAGAATGGGAAGTTAGAATAGTAAGTGCAAGGCATACATTAATAACAATAATAATCAAGCCTTGCTATGGCTGGAGTGCCAATTTGGTAGGATGGTAACAGTTGGGGAAAGGACCAGCGTGATCACAATTGTAGAATATGCTGCATAATAGCTATATCTGCCTTACATCACTAATTTTGGCTAAAGTCTGTCTTAAGAGTAAGTCAATTCATCTGCTCCATTCAAAAAGCAGCAAAGAAAAAGGTTTCATGTCAATAAGGGAAATTTAGTTCCTCATACTCTAACATTCCAAGTCCTTTTCTTCTCAGCTCAGGTCTCTTCTGGTATTGGAGTGAGAATGGGAAGAAAAGTCCTTGAAGGCATGGGAATGTGATATGGGAGACAAACATTCAAGTTATCCTCAGGCATACACTTTTGGGCTGTAAAAAGCTTATCCGCTTGTCATTTTACATATCAATGTGACAGACACATATGAAAAAATATGTCTGTGCCCATCATTTCTCATTTGCTTCATGTGGGTTGGCAGGCCACCTATCGTGAAACGTAAGGAAAAATGCTTTTTGCAATAGTGAAAATAGAATTTCAGGATACTTGCAAGGGATTGGGACCAAGTGTGCTTCCTCCTCCTGGTGAATCCCTCCCTGCCTTTTAACATGGGAGGGTATAAAGCAGATTAGCTTCTTTTATCTAATTTGTTTTGCAGATTGTACAATGTCCATAAAATTGAAGAACTGAAAAAAGGACCCAATTTTAGCCAAATACTTTGCCTTTTTTGTTTCTCAGCATGCTAAAAAGAGCTTTCCCCAGTGTAGTGTCCTACAGATGTGTTGGAACAGAATATCCATCAGTCCCAACTAATGGTTAGTGGTGGTGGGACTTGTAGTTTTAAACATCCTGAGAACATTAGGGAAAGCTATGCTGGAATGGCTTTGATTTATTTATTAGTGGAAGATGAGAAAGACCACATCACTCCACTGTAGAAAATGTACCACCTTAAAACAAAAGATAAATGAAAAGTTACATATGATAAAGTGCATGTTAATTAATAGACAAGGCTTTGTAAGAGCCCTTCACTGGGATATATTGGATTATCTGACCTCCATTAAATTCTAGAGAACCTGTTCTATGGGAGAAAATGTCTCTTAACTGAGTGGCTGATGCAACCAGGAAAGCATGAGTAACAACACAATGCTATCAGTGGTATTCCCTTACTAATTTCTACCCAGACAGCATATATGACATAGATCAGATGCACCGTAAGTCAAATGAGCGAAGTTGACCACTCCTAGTCTCATGCAGGCTGCTGCACCACCACATTAGCATAACTGAAGTTATGTTGTGATATTTCATAGTGATTATTGATTGGGGGGATCTATCCTGAAACACAGTTTAGCAGTCAAACCACACTCTGTAAGTAAAATTTTAAACTGATGTTATTCAAAATTTCTGGGTTTTATATAAGGGCCAGGGGGCAGGAAGGCTACATAGGACCTACCCACATAGCCAGTAATTGCTTTCAACACCCAAATATTTTAGTATCAAAATTTCAGCTATGACATATATTAAGTCTGAAGTTGGAAAATCCAGTAGATATTGCTGGAGTACAGTTCTCATTATCCCCGATCATACTGCCTGGGATTGACTGGATTGACAACACTTAGAAGCCACAGGTTCCCTAACCCTCTGCTGAATTCTCTCAATGTAATTATGTTCCAAAACACTTGAGTTGTATCACACCCAATGCACTCAATGTGATTCTTTTTCTCTGTGTACTCACATTCCTTGCATCAGAGAGACCACTGAATACTCAGAGAGGAAATGTATATTTGAAAAAAATTCAAGAAGCCATGAAAAGACATCAGTTCCTTAGGGCTTACCTACCCTATGTTAGGAAAAATTATACAAAAGCATTGACTAACTTATCTTCTTTTTTCAAAGCACTTGTTATCTTTTCAGTTCTGATTAATCACACAAGCTGATTTGATAAGTGAGTGTTTAAAAATTAATATTTTCTACTGGAATATTGCCAAAATGGGTAACGCCGTCTTCCAATCTACATGAACTTCTGCATAATGCTAGAAGATCTTTTAGTAGGTGAACCAGTGGTTCTCAAATTTTGTCTGAAAACTCCTCTTTGACATAAAAAAGTATACCATTGGCATCTAATATTTCTCCTGATGCCAGCCAACTGTTTTTTTTATTCAGCTAATGTTTATTTTTTTTAAGTTTCAGAAAAAAAGAAATGGAATGAAATTTGCTTTTAATATAAAGTGCTGCTTGTCATTCTTGCTTTTATGTGTATTTTGCCCAATATATAGCATTTTGCAGAACTCAATCTTCTAAATTGAATCAAGTCCAGCTGAGTTCAGTAGGGCTGACTCCCAAACTGATGGGTACAGGATTGAGCCAATATTCCACAAGATGCCAGCCTTTTCTCCATCGTTTTCTTAAAATATCTTTGAATTTTGCTTACGCCCATATACATTTGCGCCCTTCAGTTTTGCTTTTGAGGCAACTTTGCTTGTAATTAATATTATGGCAAACAGGAACCAAAAATAGGCAAGAAAGGCCAATCCTGTGATGAAGGGTGGGAGACATTGGAATTTTGTTGCTTTGCTGCTCTATAAGTCTTGAGGAGTGTTTACATCTGGCAAACAAACACAACTCTGAGAAAAAGTGCAATGTTTCTTCATCATATAGAAGCAGTCACGCAGATCCCAGTTTGAGAACCACTGAGGTAGACAAAAAGGTCTAGACAGAACTGTTAAATTAGATTCACTCTTTTCTCATGCCCTGAAAGAGGATATAAATCAACAAGAAAACCCAGCAGAGAACTACACCCCCCCCCCCTCATATATGCTGGTCCCGAACTTGCTTGCTCGGAGCTGGAAAAATATTACAAAATAATGAGTGCTGTATAGCACCCTACTTGACCTTCAGTACTCAGTTAGAATTCTGTCAACAAACTATCTACTGGCTGGAACAGGCTGAGGCCATTTCCACTAGATGCCACTGCAGGAAGGTACTCTTAGAAGGCCAAGAGGTGATTAAGATTTGTGGTCATTGTGAGAGGTCAGCCTCAACGACCCAAAAGCTGAAGGAAGCTACAGATGTAGCTTGCATTACAGCTACCTATGCTGGTTAATAACAGCCCCAAACTGTCTCTGTAAAGCAGAACCATATGATGATAAAGATACATATGTCTCATCGGAGGAGAATGATGAGTCTCTTTTCTTGCAGGCTAACACTGTTTGGCTCCCATCTCCAAATCATAAAGAAGACTCCTGGCTTCCCCATCCGGTACACCTGGATGTCTTTCACTTTCAGCGTCATTCCCAAGGCACAAGGGGCTCATGATGTAACGATAGTCACTGGTGACAGGAGCGGCTGCTCCTGTAATGTTCACTTCTCCGTCCAAGGTTCCAAAGGGACAATTCACTGTGGCATCATTTCTACAAGCTTCTTGTGGCTTCCCAATGTTGACATAAAGAGGATCCTGGCTGGTTGAGAGCAAAGACAGTCTTGCCAAAATCATTTCAAGTTGCAATTTCAGTGCTGCAAAGTTAGGGCGTAGCTTGGGTTCCGAATGCCAACATCGGCACATAAGATCATACCTGCAAGAAAAACAAAAGAAAAAACACTGAGGAAAACAGCTTTGGAGCAGCCACCCAATAAACAAGTGAGTCCCTCACTCACTAGACTAATTAAAAACCATAATGTTAGTGTCTGATTCGAAGAATCCAAAATGGCATCGTATGGTGCAAATATAATCACAAATTTTATCATGAACTAAATATGTGCTACATTTTGGTTGTTTCACAAAACCAATTACATATGGTTATGTTGACTCTTTTTAATGACAGGTCTAATCCTGAAACTGATATGGCAATCAAATACTATAGCTTCTTACTGCTTTCTAGCTTAGTTCTGGTTTTGGATCTGCATTCCACATGTTTTTATTAATCTGTGCAGTTGCTTAGAAGCTATCAATAAAATAAAACATCTAAAGATTAAAGAAATGCAATGGAAAATATTGACAAAATGGTACAGAACCCCCATGCAATTGGCGCATATTACGAAAACATGCCCAAAATTATGTTGGCACAACTGCGGAAAAATAGGAACACACACCTACATGTGGTGGGAATGCGAAAAAATCCAAAAGTTCCATAAAATAATCAGGAAAGAAATGGAGGAGCTATTAGGGATAAATATAGAGTGGAACAAGACTCAATTTTTCACCCAGAAATTGGAAAGTAAAGGGGAATATAAAGAAAGTGAGGAAATAATAAAACACATGATAGAGGCAATCAAAGCCTCAGTGGCCCTGGGCTGGAAGGAGCACAAGAAATGGGATATAAAAACTTGGTATAGATATCTAGTCAATTACCTTCTCCAAGATTATATTAGCAAAAGAAAACGTTACTATACAACGGGTCAAAGCAGAAGGGCATGGGAAGCAAAATGGAAGGGTCTCATTTACAGAATAAAGGGGAAAGATAAATATATGTTGTTAAATAAGACTATTCTCATGATTGAACAATTGTAACAAACATGACAAAAGTACTTAACTGTTCCGGGGTGGGGGGTTGTGATGGTGGTGGGATTGGGGAAAATACTGGTATTTTGAATGTTAATTTCAAATATGGTATGTTTCTATGTATTATACAATAAAAAAGAAGCTATCACCTACACTCAAAAGCCCCCATATCTTAACAGGACAGCGGGATGAGGAAATATTTTCCAACCGGAGGACAAATTTTAATTATGGAAATGTCTTTGAGAAAACATTCCAGCAGAGATTGGGGCAAGGTCAAAGTAAAGTAACTCTTCAAATTAATTCCTGATGTAATTTTCACCATTTGGACCTTTCCCCATCAAGGCAACACAGTTCAATTCTATGCAAGTTTACTGAGATGTAGGATCCATCACAACAGCTTCTCAAGAGGCAAGCCAGAGCTCAGTTCCATGCATGTCTACATCTGGGTAAGCCCCACCACAAGAGCTGCCCAGAGCTCTTTTGCAAGAGCACTATTGCACTGAAATTGTTATTGTTTCCCCAAGCCACAGCAATATTTGAACAACAGATGTGAACTGGAGTACCTACAATAGAAAGCAGAGGTATTATTTCTCTATTTATCCCACTTTTATTTTCCTCCCCTTGCATTCTCTAAAGAGACACACAGTAATAATGCTCAAATGTCTCTAGTCACACTGGGCACATTCGTTAACTTCCCCTCCATAGATCTGTGTAACACAGACACTTTTTGTTTCACTGCATTTCCTTTTTATTTTTAAAGCGCAAAATGCTGATTTAAAAATTTGGTATGTTTTCAATAAAGTGGGATTGTTGAATTATGAATGTCCTTTTATAATATACAGATGTGTACATACAATAGTATTTAAACTGCCTGTCCAGTGAGTCATTTTGAGCACAAACTTCTTACTAAAAACACTATATAAAAATAAATAGAAAATGACTATGATTATGTATCAAATATGACGTATAAAAACCCATATGCTCTTCCCTAGGAATCAGTTACTTTGAGAACAGTAGAACCTTCTTGCTTCCAGGTAAACAGGCATAAGACTTACAACAATATAGTGTATATAGTGCGCTTGGGGAATGGTTCCAGGACCCCCTAGTAAAGGTAAAGGTTTCCCCTAACATTAAGTCTAGTCATGTCCGACTCTGGGGAGTGGTGCTAATCTCCATTTCTAAGACGAAGAGCCAGTGTTGTCCATAGACACCTCCAAGGCTATGTGGCCAGCATGACTGCATGGAGCATCATTACCTCCCTGCAGAAGCAGTACCTATTGATCTATTCACATTTGCGTGTTTTCGAACCGCTAGGTTGGCAGAAGCTGGGTCTAACAGCGGGAGCTCACCCCCTCCCTGGATTCAAAACACCAACCAAGTTCAGCAGCTTAGTGGTTTAACCCGCTGCCCACCAGGGGGCCCTCTGCAGATCTCAAAAAAGTGCATGCTTTAATCCCTATTAAAAATTCTAAAATAGGAGCAGAGATGATGGCCAAACCTGGCTGCCAGATGCACCACTAGGAACACATTCCTCAGGCTCCCTTTCCTCTAGGGAGAATGTCAGTTGCCTGCTTCTGTCTTTGAGGCACAAGATAGAAATAAGAGACTGGTGGGCTCCTTGGACAAGGAACCCAAAGGATGAACACTGTCCAGCGCACTTGGGGGTGGGACTTGTCACAGCTTCTGCTGCTGTTGTACAATTTTAATAGGAACTTATTTGCTTCACCTTGCATTTGCAGTCTCTCTGTAAGCCTCACAAGACGATCTGCCACTCACTCATTTCTGGCTCGCAAAGGAATCCTACCACCTTGAGGGTAGAAGTGGGCAGTTGGTGTACTCCACACAGTAGTTTCTAAGGTATACAACTATGTAAATCCGAATCCATAGTGGGTAGAATCTAGAGTTCACAATCCCATGGATAAGGTGAGCCCACTATATTCACTTTGCAGACAGCAGTTAAATATATTACATTTATTTCTTTGTTAAAAAAGAAATTTTCCAAGCACCTTGGCAGTGTTTGCTTGAAGACACGTGGAATAAAATTTAAAAATAGGGGGAAAACAACAGTTTAGATAGAAACACACTCCCCTCAATGAAGAAAGAATTCTTCTACACTAAGCGTCCCTTGGCAGTGTCTTCTGTTCAAATTCAAACAAAATATACCTGAGCTGCCTGAAAATGTGGCTGTGCTTATGTTTAGCTTCTGTTTATCTTGCTGTGGCCTTCAATAAAAAGGTATGTTCCTGTTTGGGCTACAAAATCCACCAATCAACTACTTACACATCCTCCAGGCACTCCGGGGGTTGCTTCAATCTGTTCCCACTGATGAGGTAGTTATAAATTTCTGCATTCTCAATGCCTGCGTAAGGAGTTTGCCCTCGGGTCACAATTTCCCACATTGTCACACCAAATGCCCACTAAAACACCAGTTGGAGAAGGCATGAGAAATGGAAGAAATATAGTTAAGCAATTTCTTTCAAGAAAAGGAAACACATTATTTTCATTTAACATATTTATTAAATTGTGGCTTGTTGTGGCCTTTGGCTATGAAAAATAATATCTATATGAATGAATGATTTGCTGCTAAACATTCTGCTCAGTTGATTTAAAGAGGTTATATGATTGATTAGATGGAGTCCCACCATCCTCTTTAACAGACTAAAAGGCCAATATAAGGCAATTCATTCTGCATGTTGAAGCTGTGGTAGGGTGGGGATAAGCCTAAAATATAGTGGTTGATTTAAGGCCATATAGTGAGTTTAACACTGAACAGAAATCAGGGAGAGTTACCACATTCTGCTGGAGACATCTTAGAAAACACTACAGCGTAATGACCACTGCTTATCAAGGAATTCTATACATCACAACAGTTAACACAAAAGAATAACCATGGCACATTATAACATTAACAAGCTATAGCAAGCCTTGGGTGGGCACTTTCTCATTTCATTTCCCTGTATTTGCATGTGATGCAAGGAAATATAAAGCACAGTTTATAATCTATATAAATAAAAATTTAATGTTCGTAAGTGGGATTAACATAACTCAAAAACCACTGGACAAATTGACACCAAATTTGGACACAATACACTTATCAGGCCAATGAGTGACCATCACTCATAAAAACACTGAAAACAAAGTGGAAGGATTTAAAAAGGCAAAAGGTGAAAAGACGCTACAGCGCATGTGCAAAAATGACTCCCCCAGCAAAGAAAACACACAATAGCATATCCACTTTCTCTTCCAGACTAGAGCTCCCAGCACCCCCTAGACCAGGAGAGGAGGATGATCCAAATGCACTGCTTCCAAGATGCAAGATTTCTCCTCCTTGGATTTCTCTGAGAGCATCCCAATCCCTGCATATTTCCAATTTCCTATTCCTGGGATGCAATCCTCCAGATAGTTAGTTTAGATAGAGGTAGGAAGGCAGATAGATCGACCAGGAGGACTGCTGGGAGTTGCAGTTCAAGAATAGGTATAGAAGAAAGACGGGGGGGAAGAAGGAAGGGAAAGAAAAGGGAGGGAAGGAAGGGAAGAGGAAAAGAAGGAAGGAAGGAGAGAAAGAAAGAAGGAGAGAAAGAAAGAAGGAGAGAAAGGGGGAGGGAAGGTTGGCCACAACAACACGTGGCGGGTACAGCTAGCAAATTATAATTTCTTATCTGACAAAATAAAATGGTTTGTTGAAAACATAGTTGATAAACCAGGGGACCAATTCCCAATATGACTGTGATTTTAATATCACATTTACTTAAATATCTAAGTTGTAAGCAACCTGGTACCTATCAAATGTTTCAGACCAAAACTCCTATCACTCTTGTTTGAGTTAATAAGAATTGTAGTCCGAAATATCTGCAGAGCGGCCTGGAGGGTGTGAGGAGGCATTTTTTAAAAATGTAACTGCATGTAGCAGCTCATGGTCTGCCTTTTCTGCGCCATTCTTTTAAGTCATAATGGAAAAGAATTATTTCCCTTTCCTTGCATCTGATCACGATTTTCAATGGGTTTCTGGAGCACTAAACCTTTCCCCCCCCGTATCAGGAGCCACTTGAGAAACTGTAAGTCGCTTCTGGTGTGAGAGAATTGGCTGTCTGCAAGGATGTTGCAGTATAAAACATCATAAAAGCAATAAAAGCAACTAAGCTGAGAATAAAGAAAGCTCTATCTGCATGTCCAGTTTTAAGGGAAATGTGAGTTTTTGTTTTCCTTCTAGGCCACTAAAATTTTGTAGAGGGAATACCAATGGCTACAAAACCAGGCAAGAGGTTTGTGCAGGCCATGTGTTGCTCTCCTCTATTCTTATCTGTTGTGCTGGATTCACAGGATGGTCCTCCTGTTAACTGGAGCCTTGAAACAGTTCATCAGAGAATTAACTCTCTAGGTGCTAATATGGTGCCTCTATATGCCACTGTATGATGAAACACGACTTATTGCTATGTATTCTCACATTTGTCCAATGGCTAACTAATCATTGGATACATGAGGCAATCCATGACCACAGCTGAACCCTAAAATGCAATCACATTTTGTACATATAATTTTAGTTATATGCATTTCAGAATGCTGACTAAAAGTCAGTCAGCATTCTGAAATGCATATAACTAAAATATAACTGCCATGATGCAGTAATCACTGCTGAACAGGCACAATAGAGGGGAAGATCCTAACTCCTTTGATGTATTGGACGTTGTACGCTGTGCAAAAGAGTAAGCTGGAAAATGTGTCATGAAAAAGGAAATTAGCCCGACTCCCTCAGTCTTCAAAAGCTGAGGACAAAGAGGGAGGGTTGGACATATATTCAAGTAAGAGCATGCTTTGAATATCGGTGCTCTTTTGTGCACCTGTGCTTCCAATTTAATTAAATGTAGATTATTCCCAGTTTTCTTTTTCCAGTGAAGTCTGAACACATTGCAGACTTAAAGTGAGGACCTGGGGGAGAAGTTAAATGCCTAAGAAAAATGGAGATGTTTTGATCACATGGCCTTTGTCTTGCTTGGGTGACAAAAGGAGTTGATTCAAGTATGTCTCCTCTGCGACATACAAAGAACTGTACTTTCATTCATTCAGTGGCCAATAATTCTAAATAAAATTAAAATTCCAAGTATAATTATTTATTTGCTTGATTCTTTATCATATGAAATAGGTTTGTTGTTGTATGTTTTCAAGTTGTTTCTGACTTATGACAATCAGAAACATATCAGAGGGCTTTCCTGTCAAGATTTGTTCAGAGGGGAGTTGCCTTTGCCTTCCTCTGAATCATGCAATCTCCCCCAGTAGCGCAATGGGTTAAACTCTTGTGCTGGCAGGCCTGATGACCAACAGGTCAAAGGTTCGAATCCAGGGGTGGGGTGGGGGTGAACGGGTTGAGTTCCTTCTGTCACCTCCAGCTCCCCATGCGGGGACATGAGAGAAACCTCCCACAAAGATGATAAAAAACAAACATCTGGGTGTCCCCAGAGCAGCATCCTTATAGATGGCCAATTCTCTCGCACCAGAAGCAACTTGCAGTTTCTCAAGTCACTCCTGACATGAAAAAAAACTTATTTGGGGGGGGGGGGTTGTGAGAAGTACAAGAAAGGAGATTCCATCTGAACATGAGGAAGAACTTCCTGACTGTGAGAGCCATTCAGCAGTGGAACTCTCTGCCCCGGAGTGTGGTGGAGGCTCCTTCTTTGGAAGCTTTTAAACAGAGGCTGGATGGCCATCTGTCAGGGGTGATTTGAATGCAATATTCCTGCTTCTTGGCAGGGGGTTGGACTGGATGGCCCATGAGGTCTCTTCCAACTCTTTGATTCTATGATTCTATTAACAGGACACAAAAAAATCACAAAGAGAAGATGAGAAGGATAAGAGAAAATTGAGCTAAACCAGAAAAAGCCACCACAATTAGCTCCAGTTTGGTTAACTGAAATTAAGGAAACCCTGGCTTTCAGCTGGTTTATGCCTACCTTGCCCCCACCCCCTCCAGTTCTAAAAACCTGCTGTCCCTTTCTTTGGACAGAAAAGCTACTGTCATTTGGTGGTTATTCCCAGTTATGGCTGATAGGCTGGGGGAAAATTATTATGAATGTAGCTTTGTAAGCAAGAGTTGTCATACTAGGACCGTGATGGTGAACCTTTTAGAGACTGAGTGCCCAAACTGGGAGTGTTTGGGCACCCGGACATGGCAAGCAGGGGGAGGGGGAGTGCCACCACTGTACTAGGATGAACTTATAATTACGGAATTGCAAAATAAAATTGAATTATATATTATCCTTTTTTGTGAACTAGATTTCTATCCCCAAAATACATGACCTGACACTGACCATTCTTACACTGACGTATGTCATTTTCAGATTGAGAAGACATCTAGGGAAGAAGTCTCATTATCCCTACTTTTTAACCACTTAGCTCATCAGGAAAAGAAGCACTCACCACATCGCTGTGTGTTGTGTAGAGATTGTCCGCCAGACTTTCCAATGCAAGCCACTTCACTGGCAGCTTAGAGGCACAACCCTGACGGTAATAGTCTCCACTATATATTTTCTTTGAAAGCCCAAAGTCAGCAACACATACATTCATGTTTTCATCCAGCCTAAAGAAAACAAAATAATGAAGAATTTAAGCAACTCAGAATATCCAGGTACTAGAGAAAGTAAAAGCAGATACAGGTTTCCTCCTTCATATTACCTCATCCCTTGTGTGAAAGCAGAGTTTTATGTTGATACATGATAATCAGAACACCAAGAATGTTTTACACTGTTGGTAATGCTGAGCCAAAGGTAACAACATCTAGGGGTGGCCTAACATTATAAGCTATAGTCTCTAACTGTTTAAGCTTGGAAAGGAGTCTTCCACAACCTGAGCAGGAGAGAATGATTTCAAAGTGAAGAAAGAATTAACTTCACCTTCCTTCCTCCAGGAATCCGTGTAAAGATAAGAACATCTCAGAGGCCAACAACTGCCTAAGAGAGTCCAGCTGGGACAATCCTTTCTTTTGCACTGCTTAAAGGCCTGTGTGTCCTGAGGGAAGGACAGACAAGGACAAACCTATCTAACTGGCTATTGAAGAGTACACACCTACAGCCTGAGAAACATCTGCAGTTCTTTGCTTTTTGGTTTGTTTGGGTTTTTTTAAATAGTTTGACTCACACACCCCATATCCTTATCCATTCCAAGTATACCTGAAACCATAGATAATGGTGAACCCTATTTTGACTTGGGCCAGAAACATGCCATAGAATTGCAAACACTTTTGGGGGAAAGTATTTTTGGAGCATAGTTAAATAAGTGAAACTGTGGATATTGAATCTGTTGGATAAGAGAGGGCACATTATAGCATTTTACTGTAGTATTGTAAAATGCAAAATACTACAACATGATGTCTTGACTGTGCCATCAGTCCATCAATACAATAATGCATTCTTAACTGGAAAACACTAGTCAGTTATCTACTAAGAGTGTTCATATAGTGCACACTTGAAGCACTTATTTCTCTATGTGTATGCATGGAGTTGTTACAGCTGCTATATGCTGTAGAAATGTAAACAACCCTGTGTACACTCAAGGTATCCAAGGTATTCTGCTACCCCATCACATTCTGAGCACTTTAAGACCAGAAAGGTTTTGTCAAGACACACTTGGGAGCAAAAACAGAATATAATGGAAGCAATGAAATTCCTGAATTATTAGGAAGCCTGGAATGGAATTTTAACTATGTAGTGTACCTATGATCCCACTGCCAGAGGCAATAAGCGGGCCTTGTTCCTCCTTCAACATCCCTGGTATGCTGGAACAATCAGGAACCTGATTGTTCTTTAAGACATGACAAAGGCAAAAAGGTCTTATTTTTGCATATTATTTCTAACAACTAGAAGGAAGAAGAAATGTGATTTACTTTTTAAACAACAGTTGATGGTTAGTACATCAAACAGTGCTTCCTAACGCCTATTTTTGTAATTTCCACCTTCAAAAGGATTAGAATTTGTATTTTGGATATATTTTGGCATAGCTTGTTAACTTTTCAATATTGTTTGGGGCCTTCTTTAAATTATTGCCCCAGGAAACACTATTCTTTTTTCTTATTGAAAATCAAAGAATCATAGAGTTGGAAGAGAACTCATGGACTATCCACTCCAGTCCAACCTCCTGCCAAGAAGCAGGAAAATCACATTCAAAACACCCTGGACAGATGGCCAGCCAGCCTCTGTATAAAAGTCTCCAAAGAAGGAGCCTCCACCACACCCTGGGGCAGAGCGTTCCACTGCTGAACAGCTCTCACAGTTAGGAAGTTCTTCCTAATGTTCAGGTGGAATCTCCTTTCCTGTAGTTTGAATCCATTGTTCTGCATCCTAGTTTCCAGGGCAGCAGAAAACAAGCTTGCTCCCTCCTACCTATGACGTCCCCTCACATAGTTATACATGGCTATCATGTCTCCTCTCAGCCTTCTCTTCTTCAGGCTAAACATGCCCAACTCTTTAAGTCACTTCTCATAGGGCTTGTTCTTGAGAAGCTTGATCATTTTAGTTGCCCTCCTCTGGCCACATTCCAGCTTGACACCATTTCCCTTCAATTGCAGTGCCCAGAATTGGACACAGTGTGATTCCAGGTGTGGTCTGACCAAGGCAGAATAGAGGGGTAGTATGACTTCACTGGATCTAGACACTATACTCCTAATTATGCAAGCCAAAATCCCATTTTCCTTTTTAGCTGCTGTATCACATTGTTGGCTCATATTTAACTTGTTGTCCATGAGGTAATGGTATTTCATCACAACAGTATATGTACTTCTGAAATTCCTATTTGAAAATGTTATGCTTTAAGAATTATACTACATAGTGCACAGGTACTAAAGTAATCAGAATTAAAAAAATCAAAATACTGTAGATGCTGTTGAAGAAAGGTTTGTTGTTCAAGTCATTTCCAAACTATAGTGACCCTATCACTATTTTTTTCAGGAGAGGTTAACTATTGCCTTCTTTTGGGGCTGAGAGAGCCTGCCTTGTCCAAGATCACCCAGTGGGTTTTGTGGCTGAGTGGAGATTTGAACCCTGATCTTCAGAGTTGTACTGCAACACTCAACCTGGTACACCATGCTGGCTCCCCTGGAAGAATGATACCTTCCTACACACAGAGGCAACATAAACAAGGCAACTAGCATAACCTTTTAACTTTTCCATATACCTAATGGATCTTCATTCTCAAAAACAAGTTCTGAAATAGTAGTCCAGAAGTTTGTTTTTCAAGGTGAACTTAATACTGAATCTGTATATTATAACTATTTCGACCATAACGGCTTACAGGAGGGTTTTTACTTACAATCAATCATGCAGAGCTCTTCAGTCTTTCATTCATGCTTCTGACACTTCATTGGTTCACTTGTTTGGTTCTGCTCCACTCCGATATCTGATTTACTTTGCATCTTTGTGCTCTGTCCCTTCTCTAAATATTCAAGGTCCTTTTGTTTCAAAGATCCTCCTTGTCTTGCCTCATTGACTCTATCTAACTAGGTTCCAGAAATTATGGGTACTGTAGCAAATAGTGTGCATGAGTTTCCTGTTTTTCTTTTTGTTAGGCATGCCTTAAGAACTCAGTAGAAGACCCAGAAAGAGCATCTATTCAATCTCTATCTACAGGTTTCGCTAACCAAAGTGATATCCTCCAGATGTTCTGGATCATAGTTATCATCATCCCTGACCAATGGCCATGTCGGTTAGTTCTGTAATCAAAAACATGTGGGTGGAAGCAGTAGAAACTCTGGAGGTCACTAGGTTGGGAAAGGCTAACTTAGAAAATAACGTATTATCGAAGATTTTCATGGCTGGAATCACTGGGTTGTTGTAGGTTTTTCCAGCTGTATGGCCATGTCCTAGAAGCATTCTCTCCTGACGTTTCACCTACATCTTTGCTAACACTTTGGCTGGGGAGTTAGCATGCTGTGAGGCTCATGCCATGGGACACTGTTCAACATGTGTCATGACACTAGACCAGGCATGGGCAAACTTTGTCCATTCAGGTGTTTTGAACAGAAGCTCTCTGAAGCTTTAAGTGCTCTAACTGCCTGTTACAGGGAAACTGAATTGTACAATCAGTAGAGCATAAAAACTATCAACTCTTCCACAATCACCTCGTTTAACTTTCTTCAAAATTATTGTGTTGCATAGTTTCATTTCAGGAAAATCATCTCATACCTGGTGACTCTTTGGACTTTCTCAACCAATCTCTTATGTATTTCCTAACCTTTACAAAGATTTCCATTAGTATATAAGAACACTGTAGACTCACATGCAGTTCCGGGCAGCCAAGTCCCTGTGTATGAAGTTTTTGGAGCTCAAGTACTCCATGCCACTAGCAATATCAATCATGAATTTTAAGAGGGTCCGGAGGGGCAAGTTCTGCAGAAAAAGAGGCACAAAGAAAGGTGAGGCATTGAGGGGGAAAGAAATATTGCAGCATGTAGAAATGCCATGAAAACATTGAGCCCATTCCCAATTTTAAAGATGAAAAAGGACTATTAGAAGAGCACATCATTTAAGAAACCTTACAGTAAACCCTATTGCAGTAACAGAAGTCTAAAAAGAAACTAAAATATGAGCCTTCTTGGCTTGCCTCTGGCATTTTATGGGCTGAACTATTTCACCACAGCTATTTAAAATCCTCTTTCTAGAGAGAGGGAAAAGCCTCGGTAAGAATTATTCCTCCTAACATTCTACTTTCTATTTAATTGTAATTTAAATAATTTAAATATACAATTTTACTGTTTGCAGTGTGAAAACAGTATGAACTTGATAAAGCTGTGCCAAAAATGTTCGTGCATGTGTATCTTGGATCTAGAGAAGAGATAGCCACAAAGCATATACCGTCTTTACACTAATTGATTTGTCTATCAACGAAGTATGAAACTGTCAATGCTTAAATATGAAACTTGGCTAGCACTCAGAATATTTAATGAGTGTTGAAACTTCTTTTCCTTTTTCTTGTTTTTCTTGTCATTCTCAGCTAATATCCTACAGCAGATTGTTCATAGAAGTCTGAATACCACAGTCCAAGAGAACAACATGTTCTTGCTCTAATCTTAGTGAGAAAAATAATAAAACTGAGTAACCAATGGGACCATGTTATTCAGAAGGCACTCGCTAATGATAATGTTTCATCTTTCATCTCTGTTGACAACAGCAAGTACATCTGGAGTGACTATATAAGCTCAATGCATTTACAAGCTGAGTAACAACTAAAACTTCTAAGTGTCTAAAACAAACAGCAACAAACAGAAGAACACAGATTTACATGTCTGGAATAAATCACATTTGATAAACTAAAACCCCAGTTCAAAATATGATTTCCAAATGAATTCTTCTGTGAGGAGCATAGTAAATGGGAGAATCTTACAAATGGGTTTTCTCCAATCCGGGACATCAGTAGAAAAGAGTGAAGGTCTCCATGCTTCATAAATGGTAGGATAACCATTGGGATTGGAAGACGGCCTTTAGGTCGATTGCGCAAGCTGACTCCTGATGAAGCAGAGAAGGAAAGTTAGCAAGTACAAGTATGCTTGTTTTAGGTTATTACATCTTGCTTTTCATAATTTTCTGAATATCTCTGGCAGTCAGCATTTTAATTCTTTGTCCTTGGATTTTGTGTCATCTGTTAGTTTCAAAAGGATGTATAATTGCTAAGAACTATCCTAAAAACTATCAGCAATGTATTTTGCATACCTTAGCACCTTCTAAGGAAGATAGCCATGTAATAATAATAATGATAATAATAATAATAATAATAAAATTTATTTCTTATCTGCCTCTCCTCAAGGCTGAGCACAACACGGTTAAAAACATATCATTATAAATCATTATGTAAAAGACAAATGATAGAATGTATTTCTATGAAGTTCTATGAGGATCTGCAGGACCTACTGGATAATACACCAAAAAGAGACATTATTTTCATTACAGGAGACTGGAATGCCAAGGTGGGAAGTCAAATGACAACAGGGATCACAGGCAAGCATGGTCTGGGAGAACAAAATGAAGCGGGACGCAGGCTGATAGAATTTTGCCAGGAAAACTCGCTGTGTATAACGAATACTCTCTTCCAACAACCTAAAAGACGGCTTTATACATGGACCTCACCAGATGGTCAACACCGATATCAGATTGACTACATCCTTTGCAGCCAAAGGTGGCGGACATCCATCCAGTCGGTGAAAACAAGACCTGGGGCTGACTGTAGCTCAGATCACGAACTTCTTATTGCCAATTTAGAATAAAACTAAAGAGATCAGGGAAAATACACAGACCAGTTAGATATGATCTCACTAACATTCCTAGCGAATATACAGTGGAAGTGAAGAACAGATTTAGAGGACTAGATTTAGTAAACAGAGTCCCAGAAGAACTATGGACAGAAGTCCGCGACATTGTTCAGGAGGCGGCAAAAAAGTACGTCCCAAAGAAAAAGAAAACCAAGAAGGCAAAATGGTTGTCTGCTGAGACACTGGAAGTAGCCCAAGAAAGGAGGAAAGCAAAAGGAAACAGGGATAAGGGGAGATATGCCCAGTTAAATGCGCAATTCCAGAGGTTAGCCAGAAGAGATAAGGAACTATTTTTAAATAAGCAATGCATGGAAGTGGAAGAAGACAACAGAATAGGAAGGACAAGAGTCCTCTTCCAGAAAATTAGAAACATTGGAGGTAAATTTCAGGCAAAAATTGGTATGATAAGAAACAAAGATGGCAGGGACCTAACAGAAGCTGAAGAGATCAAGAGAAGGTGGCGAGACTATACAGAAGATCTGTATAGGAAGGATAATAATATTGAGGATAGTTTTGACGGTGTGGTGAATGAATTAGAACCAGACATCCTGAGGAGTGAGGTTGAATGGGCCTTAAGAAGCATTGCTAACAACAAGGCAGCAGGAGACGACGGGATCCCAGCTGAACTGTTTAAAATCTTAAAAGATGATGCTGTCAAGGTGATGCATGCCATTTGCCAGCAAATATGGAAAACACAAGAATGGCCATCAGACTGGAAAAAATAAACTTATATCCCCATACCAAAAAAGGGAAATGCTAAAGACAGTGGCCCTTATTTCTCATGCCAGTAAGGTCATGCTCAAGATCCTGCAAGGAAGACTCCAGCAATACATGGAGTGAGAGTTGCCAGATGTTCAAGCTGGGTTTAGAAAAGGCAGAGGAACGAGAGACCAGATTGCCAATATGCTGGATAATGGAGAAAGGCAGGGAGTTTCAGAAAAACATCTACTTCTGCTTCATTGACTATTCTAAAGCCTTTGACTGTGTGGATCATAATAAATTGTGGCAATTTCTTGGTGGGATGGGCATCCCAAGCCACCTTGTCTCTCTCCTGAGGAATCTGTACAAGGACCAAGTAGCAACAGTCAGAACTGACCACGGAACAACAGACTGGTTCAAGATTGGGAAAGGCGTACGGCAAGGTTGCATCCTCTCACCCAACCTTTTTAACTTGTATGCAGAACACATCATGCGATGTGCGGGGCTTGATGAATGCAAAGCTGGGGTGAAAATTGCTGGAAGAAACATTAACAACCTCAGATATGCAGATGACACCACTCTGATGGCCGAAAGCGAGGAGGAGCTGAGGAGCCTTCTAATCACGGTGAAAGAAGAAAGCGCAAAAGCCGGGTTGCAGCTAAACGTCAAAAAAACCAAGATTATGGCAACAAGAATGATTGACAACTGGAAAATAGAGGGAGAAACCGTGGAGGCCGTGACAGACTTTGTATTTCTAGGTGCAAAGATTACTGCAGATGCAGACTGGCCAGGAAATCAGAAGACGCTTACTTCTTGGGAGGAGAGCAATGTCCAGTCTCGATAAAATAGTGAAGAGTAGAGACATCAGACTGGCAACAAAGATCCGCCTAGTCAAAGCCATGGTATTCCCTGTAGTCACCTACGGATGTGAGAGCTGGACCGTAGGGAAGGCTGAGCGAAGGAAGATCGATGCTTTTGAACTGTGGTGTTGGAGGAAAGTTCTGAGAGTGCCTTGGACTGCGAGAAGATCCAACCAGTCCATCCTCCAGGAAATAAAGCCCGACTGCTCATTGGAGGGAAGGACACTAGAGACAAAGTTGAAGTACTTTGGCCACATCTATGTAAAAGGAAAGCCTGAAGAAGATAATGATGCTGGGGAAAATGGAAGGAAAAAGGAAGAGAGGCCGACCAAGGTCAAGATGGATGGATGGCATCCTTGAAGTGACTGGACTGACCTTGAAGGAGCTGGGGGTGGTAACGGCGACAGGGAGCTCTGGCGTGGGCTGGTCCATGAGGTCACGAAGAGTCAGAGACGACTGAACGAATGAACAACAACAACATTTCTATGAAACACATATTTTAAAAACACAGAACAAATATTAAAATACATTAAACACAAGACATGAGTTTAACATTCATCGTTAATATCTGACAGGGTAGGCCCGCCGGAAGAGATAGATCTTCAATTGTCTCTTAAATTCTGACAGCTGATATTCTTGGAGTAATCCAAAAAAGAACAGATTGCTTACCTGTTATAGTAGTTCATTGAGTGGTTGCCTGTGAACTCACATAAATGGAGTTACCTGCACCTGCACAGTTCATCATTCATATCTTCTAGAACAGTGGTTCTCAACCTATGGGTGCTCAGGTGTTTTGGCCTACAACTCCCAGAAATCCCAGCCAGTTTACCAGCTGTTAGGATTTCTGGAAGTTGAAGGCCAAAACATCTGGGGACCCACAGGTTGAGAACCACTGTTCTAGAGGTCACATAAGTGTTTGAGTGGTAGCCTTGGCCACTATTTGTAGACCAGACCAGCATGTTTCCCACCTACACCCTTGGTTCCCTGCATGCTGTATCAGGTTACCATGAGGCAGCAGCCAAGGATCTGAGGATAGGCAAGTTGCATGTGTTCACAGATGACCACTAAAAAAACTACGGTTACAGATAAGCACCCTGTCCTTCTTCATGCTCTCTATAATTCACATAAATGAAGACTTGGAAGAAGACCAGGATAAGGAGAATATCATGCCACATAGTTAAAATGCACAGCCATCCCAAACTCAGCTTCCACCTAAACCTGGTGTCCCATTTATAAGATATGAAAGCTGGGAGTTTTGACCAGCTGGTTGTACATAGGAATCCCTCTCAAGAAAACAAACTTTTCACTTAGGTAGGAGATTATCTGCCTGCAAGTTCATAGGCCAGGCAAATGGCCACTGCAACCCAGTTGTGGTAAGGCAGAAAGTATTTTCTTGGTAGATGAGTAAGAAAGAAAAAGTCTCTGTCTTCCTGAAAAAAGATGAACAATCAATCAAAGGCCAGAGTCTGGCAGGCATCCAGTGAATGGAGAGAGCATTTCTGACCTGTTGTAGTATTCCACAGAAATGCAGGAAGAACTGTGTATTGATTAAGAGCTCTAGAAGGTGCGAAATGATGCACTGTACAGATGCAGGTAATCTCATTTTTTGTGAGTCACAGTGATTATAGACTCATCCAGACAGGGCCCATTTCCCAGGCCCTCTTGCACTTTTACTGGAGGCATCCAAACAATGTCTCCAGTAAAAAAGGATTAATTTGAAAGAAAGCAGGAAAATCCTGCTTTATTCCAAATTAATTAGATAGCCCATTAGACCCACACCTTTGTGAAAGGCCCGGTCTAATGGGCTATGAGCCCTGTGGGACAGGCCCACAGATAGTCCTGGGACTACCATGGACCCTCATCCCCTTCCCAAAACCCCCCACAAAACCCTTAAAAATAAAAAGGGAAACTTACCGGGATCCATTAGGCCTCTGTTGAAGCCTGACGGCCCCTGGTAAGGTGACAGGTTGGTCTGAACCATGAGATTCTATTATTGAGCCCGCCTTATGCATTGTGTCTTTCTATAGTGCAATAAAACCACCATCTTGTCTCTTTCTATAACTATCCAACAGTATTCCTATTCCAGTTCTCTATTAGAAGTTCAGTGTTCCCTCGCTCCTTTGCAGTTCGCTTTTCGCAGACTCGCTGTTTCACGAGTTTCCTTCCTTGCTACTCACAGGACTGTTGCCGCCTTCTCTCTCTTGCTCACTCACCAGGATGGATTGCAGTGGCAGAACCAGGACTCGGCCCGGTGAGTGAGTGAGCGTTGTAGGAAAGGGCAAGAGAGTGAGTGAGGCAGCAGTGGCGGATAATACGGAGTGTCGGATAAGCGGAAGTCAGATAACTGGGGCTCTACTGTATATAGCGCCCCTACTTCGCGGATTTTCACTTTTCGCAGGTGGTCCTGGAACGTAACACCTGCGATAAGTGAGGGAACACTGTATTTTGAATGTGATACACTATGAACTTCTAAATAAGTCAGTGAATTACATGACTACTGTTACCATCTAATACTATTGCCAATAGCAAAGCAGCAATGACTTATGCACAATTTAGAACATTTCTGTACAAAAGCTGATAGAATACCCAAAATTGCTCACCAATCAGCTTGGTAACATGTGGATGATCAAACTCCTTCATGCACGCAGCTTCCTTCAAGAATTCTTCTATATCATTTGAAGTAAAGATGTCAGCTAGAATAGAAACATATTAAGATTTTCTTTCAAATATTTTCAAAAAAAGATGGTAGATGTGCAAAACAAGAACATATTATTATTATTATTATTATTATTATTATTATTATTATTATTATTATTATTATATGATACACAACAAGATTAGTACACAGCAAACAAGATCACTATCCTGGCTTTTGTATTTGATCATACGTTGGACACTTCCTAAGTGTCTAGGACTGTGTGATGTATCGGCGAATAATGCATGATGCTGATCCAAGTAGGGTGGCCTTTTGCAGCTGACAGGTGGTAATTTTGTAAGCGCCGATTGTTTTTAAGTGCAGACCAAGGTCTTTAAGCACTGCACCCATTGTGTTTACTGGCTTGTGACAGAGTCTTTGAAGTTAGATCTTTAAATCATCATATCATGTAAGGTATTATTATTATTATTATTATTATTATTATTATTATTATTATTATTTATGTTTATTTATATCCTGCTTTTTCTCTTCACAAGGAGACTCAAAGCAGCTTATATTAAAAACAGAATTAAATATCATCAGTATTAAAAATTCTGTTAAAATCCATAAAAACATACTCAAAACTAAAAACTACCTTTAAAGAGCACATTTAAAACAACAGCATAATTAATACTAACATATTTTAATTGACAGTAAATCACTTCATCAAATACATGGAATCCTGGCTTTGTTGGCAGATCATTATATAGTATACTTTATGTAAATGGGTTCAGGATTGTAATCCATAAGATCGAAGAGAATTGTGAAAAGTACTAACAGTGACTTCTTAGTAGCAATATTAACAAAAGTGTATTAATCAAATGGTAAACTGATGCCTGAATTAAACTGAAAATGGCATCAAAACTCCCAGTGATTTTAGTGGCTCAGGAACCTTCCCAGTGGCATTCTACTCCCACAGTTAAAATTTGTTAATGGATGGCACAGCACTTAATTCACAGACCAACAGCTATACTGATGAGGATACTGCTTTTATAGTAGCAAGGATCTTGGATGACTGTAAAAGTGAGGCATGGCTTTGAACATGAAAAGCACACAGCAACAAAAGATGAAAAGGAGGGAGAGGAAAGGGAAAAATGGACCTAGTGTTGTTTGATGAGGAAAATGGTAATAGAAGGCATCAGAGGCCTATTGACCAGTCTAGAAGCTACCTACCTTTTAGCATTTTCACTGCAACCTTTTGAAGAGAGCCATCCGGCAGTTTCAGCTGACCTTCTCTTACAGAACCAAATTCTCCTGATAAAGTACAAAAGGAACAGGTCAAACACAATGCATCTGAACTTTACCCCCATGGACCATAAAGGATGTAGATCTTAAGTGAAGAAAGGCTATATATATGGATGCTTCTAAATAATGGTCTCTTCCAGTTAAGGATTTTCTTCCCAACGAACACAGTTCAGATTGATTTCAGAGAAGAAAGATAGATAATATCACACTGTGGCTAAAGATTCTCAGGAGGTAGAATAAAAACTGGTAAGAACATTATACACCCAACAACAAAACTATATGATGTTTTCCTCTCCCCATTTCCCCCTTAAAGCAACGTTTCTCAACCTAGGGGTCATGAGGGGGTTTCAGAGGGATCACCAAAGACCATCAGAAAACATATATCTCTGATGGTTTTAGGAATTCCTTTGGCAGAGAAGGCTGAAGATCTCTCTGCCTGTCCTTCTCTTCCTTTTTGGAAACAGACAGCCAATCCTCCCACCAAAAGCCCTCCCCTGCTATGATTGGTTGGCCTCTCAGCTGGCCTCTCAGCCAAGGAGAGGGTTGTTTCCAAGACTCCAGGCAGAGAGGGGAGAACAGGCGTGCTCAGCGCATGGCAGTGTGGTGTGCATGTGTGGGTGAGGGAGAGCGTGTGAGGCTGGAGGGAGGCTTACGCCAGCGAGTCCCTTTGAGGCATGGGGGTTCTGTGTGGGAAGTGTGACCCAATTCTATCACTGGTGGGGTTCAGAACACTCTTTGATTGTAGGTAAACTATAAATCCCAGCAACTACAACTCCCAAATGTCAAAGTCTATCTTCCCCAAACTAAACCAGTGTTCACATTTGAGCATATTGAGTATTCATGCCAAATTTGGTCCAGATCCATCATTGTTTGAGTCCACAGTGCTCTCTGGATGTAGGTGAACTACAATTCCCGAACTTGAGATCAATGCCCATCAAACCCTTGCAGTATTTTCTGTTGGTAATGGGAATTTTGTGTGCCAAGTTTGGTTCAATTCCATCGTTGGTGGAATTCAGAATGCTCTCTGATTGTAGGTTAACTATAAATCCCAGCAACTACAACTCCCAAATGACAAAATCAAGCCCCCCTCCTAACCCAACTAGTATTCAAATTTGGGCATATCGGGTATTTGCGCCAAATTTGGTCCAGTGAATGAAAATACATCCTGCATATCAGATATTTACATTATGATTCATAACAGCAGCAAAATTACAATTATGAAGTAGCAACGAAAATAATTGTATGGTTGGGGGTCAACATAACATGAGGAAGTGTATTAAGGGGTCACAGCATTAGGAAGGTTGAGAAACACTGCCTTAAAGCACCTCCACTCTCATTTTCTTTTGATTATGTATTTCTTTCCTATATTTTCCAACATGTTCTCTATTTCTCCGTCCATGCCTTTCAAAATATGCCATTCTTTTTATTTTTCCCTTAGCTTTGCCTCTTCAAATTCCTCTATCTCAGAAATGTCCAAAAGCTCAGAAATTATATGTGTTTACCTGTTTGATTGAAGCAATCTCAACCTGCGATAAATGCTATGAAATGATTAGTCAATAAACAGAAAGGTAGGGCTGAGCTAAATTTCAGCTTTTGTTTGACTCGTTCCAATAAGATAGAGGCTGTTGTGATCTAATAATCCTATTTTGGGTCATTAAGACATGCTAAAACTCATTGAAATCAATAAATTTACACTGAAGTGTAAGCCTTCCTCACAGCAGATGCAGACTTGTCTCATTCCACACTCACCCTTGCCTAGCATTCTTCCCAGTGTAAACTGCTGCTCTTGAATCAGGACATCTTTTAGTTTAGTCTTCAGTTCATCACTGATTCCTATACTGTCCACTGGAGAGAGGCAGAAAGATGTATTTAACACAAAATCTCTAAACCTTGCTCTTATTTTTTAGAACCATAGAGAGATATACTAGATAAAAATCACATTGAACAGGAACGAGCATGAAAATGAATGGTTAGATCTCATCATTTCTTCACACCTGTAAATTCTGTGTTAATGACTTCATAACTACATTAAGTATGCTTAAGATTGGTCCTATATTCATTTCCTTTTCACGTATTATAATATATTCCAAATTTTGGAATTATTACATGTGCATTTACTTCAGTTTCAGAATTTAAAATGCTACGCAACCCTTTTGTTACACAATTAATAAAGAGGAAATAAGAACACTGTAAGCAGTACAGATGGATCAGACTTCTATCAGTCAATTCCACAGATGGTGAGGGTGAATCATAGCTGTTAGTATGTCATAGAAGCTAGAATAATTTACAATAGTGAATAAGAGGGACTTGTGTTTGAGATGTAGCACAAAGATGGCTCAATTATTTTATTTACCGTATATCCTCGAGTATAAGCCAAGTTATTCAGCCCTTTTTAAGGTTGAAAAAGCCCCCCTCAGCTTATACTCAAGTCAAAGTTATTTATTATTTTACTGGGTTATTATTATTATTACATTTATTATTTTACTGGATTATTATTATTATGATTATATTTACATTACTTTACTCTATTAATAATAATAATAAATTTTATTTCTCTACCTCCCTCTCTCCCCTATGTAAATATAATATTTTAATCTATTATTACTGTTGTTATTGCTTTTCCATTATTTTACTTTATTATTATTATTGTTATTACATTTATTATTTTACTCTTATTATTATTGGAAGGATACGTAAGCACATTTGCATTGAAGAAGGTTAGAATAATGGTTTAATCAGAGTAGTTCAGTCTTATCTTAAATTACAGTTTTATGTAAATATTAAAAAACATTTCACGTACTGATGCCTCAATTAATGTAATTTATTGGTATTTATTTTTTACTTTGACATTTACAAGTAGCTGCTGCATTTCCCACCCTCGGCTTATATTCAAGTCGATATGTTTTCCCAGTTTTTTGTGGTAAAATTAGGTGCCTTGAGTTATATTCGGGTTGGCTTATATCTCAGTATATATGGTATATATTATATTGCATTGCTAAATCAAGAAATTATGGCAAAAGTGTAAGCAAAATTTAGCATTTCCAGTTTCTGTCTATAAAATAAAGCTGGCAGCTGTGCGCATACATGAAAACAAATTGGTTCAAACCCAAACATACTTAGAACAGATCCACTGAAATCAATGTCCCTTCATTTAATCCTTAAAATCAACAATTAATCTCTTGACACTTTCAGGACAAACATGTTTTATTTGGCACAGGCTTTCAAGGACTTCAACCCACTTCATCAGCTGTAGCTTTCAATTATTTTAAATTGTCTGCTCTATGCATGACTACATCTATATCCAGCTGTACATCAGCAGTAACCAAGCCAAGATAAACACAAAGAGAGTAATAAAATTGATCAGAAATGTAAAAGCAAGGCTCTCACATATTAAGAATTTGATAAAGTTCAGTGCTTGGAAAATGTACTTTTCTAACTGCCATTCCCAGCTGCCCCTAACCAGCACTATTAGATTGATTTTCCCAAGCTCTTCAAATTAGGTGCCACCAAAGGGAAGACCCTGCTCCTTGAAGCCATCTATAAACTTTAAAAGATCTTTTTACTCAGAGCAAGGTCTTTCCTAATTATCACAGCTGTTGCAAAACATATAAAAAGAGATACCCTATAACTTATAATGATTTTAGTGGGAATGAAAACAGCACTGCAACTTATTAATTAGCTACAGTCCATCTCTATAGAAGGAAGCCACAAATTAATGAGATCTAACACTTGAGCTGATGTCACGTTTACTTGGAAGTAACGCGTATTGTGAATAATATGGCTTTCTAATTATTAATATGCATGAGATTGTCATTTATTTCTATCTATAGAATATCATGCTAAGTGAAAGTGGAATACAAACATATGTTATGATGATGATAATGATGTTCTCGCAACATCTCAGTACAGCAGTGCAACTATCTAATCTGTGCTTGAAGCATGGGTTTTGGACAAAGATTCCAGAAACACATCCATGAGACCATTTTGTTCTTTACTTCGTGTCTGTATTATAATTGTTCAGTGTTCAAGATTCAGAAAAGTGAATGAGAGGAAGAGGAAAGAAGAACACTTTGTGTCAACTACCTGGAAGTGCATTTGATGAATGGAGTTTGTAAAAGAGAGTCATTAGAACATTTTACCTACATGTTGCCTCAATAAGCTCTGGCACTTCTCTGTTGAAAGATCTCACTGCTCGGAAATGGACTATGGGATCCCCTCCCACCACGCTGCCAAAGGCATGACTAGAAGAGAAAAAAAAGGGGGGGGGGACTCATTAATATAATAAGCAAAAAAGTGTCACAAAAGGATAAATAATCCACATTACATATCTATAACACAGAGAGGGACCTAGAGCCTCCTTAAATAGTTATCTCTTTCCTCCTTGCGAAATCATCCACAATTTCTGGCGTCCCTAGGGTAGGTCCTTTCTCGTTTTTATTTATCCAAAGACAACACGAACATAGGGATACAGCTATTTTCAGAAAAATTGGAGTTGCCCCAACACCTGCTTTCCCCATCTAAAATACCTCCTCCTCCTCCTATTATTCTGTTTAATGGAAATCTCCTCTGAAACTCTGCACAGGTTTGTCCTAGACATGTGTTTTAGTCACTACATGACAAGGCATTTACCCAAAACGGGTTTCTTTTCTTCTTTTCCTCAGAAGGATCAGTGCCAAGGAAACAGCTGTGACCAGTGCCGTCAGAATACCTAAAACCACAGGAACCCAGGATGTCCCATAGGGAGGCTGTCTCTGTCCCGCTGTATAAAAGAGAAAAACCAAGATATCACATGTGGCAAAATACACTCCAAATGGTCATCTGTAACAAAAAAAAAGTATGCTCTTCATTATATCAGAAAATATAAATCATGGCAATAAGACTTCATGGAAAACCCATCAACACAACCATAAACTGCAGGAGCCCCTGATGGCACAATGGGTTAAACCCTTGTGCTGGCAGGACTGACGACCGACAGGTTGGAGGTTCGAATCTGGGAAGAGTGCAGATGAGCTCCCTCTGTCAGCTCCAGTTCCCCATGCGGGAACATGAGAAAAGCCTCCCATTACGATGGTAAAAGATCAAAACATCCAGGCATCCCTGGGCAACGTCTTTGCAGATGGCCAATTCTCTCACACCAGAAGCGACTTGCAGTTTCTCAAGTTGCTCCTGACTTGAAAAAAAAACACACACACACCCCATAAACTAAGTTTATTTAGCAGCTACAGAGGCAAAGGAAGAAGAAACGGATTAGTTCTGTAATGGAATTAAAGAGAAAATGGTCATGCACCTAAACAGGACTTCTTGTTACTCATAGATGACTCAAATGCAATCATAGAAAGTAGAGTAAAAATATACATGGTATGAAAATTTGGCCTAGCTTCAAGAAATAAGGTAGGAGACTGACTTGAGTTTTTGAAGGTCAACAGTTTATTCATTGCAAAGACATTCCTAAGACAAAAACAAAAAAAGCTACTGCACGCATGACTGTATTCATACTTGATGGCCAATGTGGAAATAAAATAAACTATATAATTAGAAGCAGAAGATGGAAAAGCTCCATTCCCTTTGCAAAAAGAAGAAGAGGAGGAGGAGGATTGTGGCATGAACCATGAACTACTAAAGGCGACAATAAAGTTAAAAAAAAACACTAGACATCATCATGCCAAAATACAACCTGAATAACAATCCCATATTATTTAAAGACAATGTGAAAAATAGATTTGCACTATTAAGCCCAGTTGACAGGGAACCAAATGAGCTCTGAACTGAAGTCAGGAACATTGTCAGGGAGGATGGCCATCTGTCGGGGTACTTTGATTGTGCTTTTCTTGCATGGCAGGGAGTTGGACTAGTTGGCCCATGTGGTCTCTTCCAACTCTATTTTCTATGATTCTATGAATGCCAAAGGATACTAAAAAGAAAGAAAAGCCTCTAGGGATGAAGACGAAACTTCAAAAAAGTAAAGAAATAAGGGAAGCAAAAGTGAAAAAAAAAGGATAGAACAATACTTTTGGTATGCAGTATCTTACAGTGAAGACAAATTTTGTTTCAATGTGAAGTCTTTTCAGGATCCTTACATAACATTTCTTTGTAATCATCATATAATATCTGTATTCCTCTAAATTTTGCATGTAATTATGTATTTAGAGAACCTTTAAGATACTGCAATTGAAACAAGTCCTGGAAAACTGAAAATGAATGGGACTAAAGGCAGTCAATTGTCTTTTTCAAGAAATGCCCCAAGGATGATATGTATGTTGCTTTTAAAGTATTTTTAATGGAATGAAGAGCCCATAGAGTGAAAACATAAAATTGGCATATGTAAGTATTTTTAAAAACAGTTGTGTGAATCGCTTAAATTTTTGAAAAGGTTTGTTTTCCACATTCTGTGCCATTGTAAACATATAATTTTGAGTTGCACAATACCCTGAATTAGAAATTGAAAAGTAGTACTTTTTATCATTTGTGTATAAAAGAGCCGAAGTATATGCTGGTGGCAGAGAGAATAGAAGACTACACTTGGTAGTATTGCCAGAGCAAGAGGAGACATCTTTGAGCAGGAATCTTCTTTGGAGGCTTTTAAGCAGAGCCTGGAGGACCATCAGTCAGGAGTGCTTTGAATGTGATTTTCCTGCTTCTTGGCAGGGGTTGGACTGGATGGCCCACAAGGTCTCTTCCAACTTATGATTCTATGTCTGGGGAAGACGTAATGCATCTGGGCAAAATGCAGCACCTGAACATGCCACATGTTGCTCGTTTCCTACACAACTGGGAAATGGGGTCAGGGAGGGTAGGAAATGCTTCCAATCTTTAGGAAACGTAGAGAGACAGATCTCACATCCTTCCTCTTCCCAAGAGTACTTCTCTGCTGAAACCATCACAGTAGAGGAAACTTGTGTGTGTGTGTGAGTACAACAAGGCCAGCAACACCAGTTCCTTTGCCACTGAGATATTGGAGCATTTGCCTAACTTGCGTTGTAAATTCATCCTCATTCTTCTTGGCAGGCGAAGTGTGCTTCAAGTAAGACTGCAAGTGGTTCCCTAAACAGCACTATTAAATGCTTTTATAAGCTTCCCCACCCATACACTGGGAGACACTAACAAGCTGCCCCAAATATTTCACACACAGAGGGAACACAGAAGATGCCTATTCAGTACCAGCTTGTTATTACCGGAAAATAAGCAATATTTATTTTCCACAAGGCTTACCACAAAGTTTCATTATTTTTACAGATCTATAGTTTTGTTCACTCAGCATTTCCACAATGCAGCTTTCTTTACAAGTTTTTATAGGCTTGGCTTCATACTCCATTAGATATGGTTTCTGTTTGGACGCAATGAGCCTTAGGCCAAAATAGAGCGAGGGAGCACAGTGTATTTTAGTATGAGTAATTGTTTATACAAAGAAAAGTTATTTGTTATTAGTGCAGTCTTGTCAGATTTTAGGGAACACATTGCCATTCAAGATTTTGCTAGGTTGAAGACTAATTCATTACTCTTCTAGATGCTTCAGTCATAACCCAACAGTTTACATGACTAACATCACTGTAGTGCATCAAACTGTATGCTAAATTTTGGGCTTTATTTTCAAATTCTCTCCATATATTTAGGTGAATTACACTTTCTATTGTGTTGTGTTTTTCTTTGTATTTTTTTCTGCCATGAAATACTGCATGGTTTACAAGGGAATAAACAATTGATTTGAGAAAAACAAACAACTTTGGCCCTCCGGCTGTTAGGAATAGTGGGAGTTGAAGTCCAAAACACCTGGAGGGCCAAAGTTTGCTCGTGCCTGCTTTAGAGCCACTGCATTATTTTAATCTTACACCCATCTTGGAGGGTAGGGGAGTGGGGATGGGTGGTGGCTATGGCTCAACTCTACTACCAGACACAAGTAGAGCTGGCTCCCTGAGTACATGGAATTTCTATAAATTGTTGACTAACAATTCAAACATTGATTCAAGGGGAATAACTTTCTCAAGTGAGAAAAATAAGGCTTGGAATGGCACTTTCCCCAGGATGTGGGTGAGGAATAAGTGTGATTTAATGGTATTAATGTTGGACTAAGCCTTGCTCAGCCATGAAAACTTCCTGGGTGACTTTGGGCAAGTCACTCTCTCTCAGTCAAAAGACAACCCCCTTCTAAACAAATCTTGCCAAGGAAACCACATGATAGGGTCACCTTAGGATGCTCATAAATTGGAACGACTTGAAATTACACAATAACAACACAAGCAAATGTGGGTGGGGTTATCACAACAAAAAGAACCTTTAAAAAGAGTGGTCAAGACTGGAATTGCACCTTTGATCTAGAAGTGCAATTCCAATTGGAAATAGCCCCAAATCAGGGTTTCAGGAAGGACTGCCCTTCCAAATATTTCATCCCTTGGACTTCTTCCTCCTCCCCTACACCCTCTCAGTTTATAACAAAGCAGGAAAGGGAAAACTAATTATCTGTTATCTGTAATCAAACATAGTAAAGCCAGTAGGAGGTATTAACCCTTCTCTCAGTTCTAGTTGCCCTTCCAATTGGGGGGGGGGGGGGCTTCCACACAGCCCTATATCCCAGAATATCAAGGCAGAAAATCCCACAATATTTGCTTTGAATTAGATTATCTGAGCCCACACACAAATAATGTGGGATTTTCTGCCTTGATATTCTGGGATATAGGGCTGTGTGAAAGGGCCCCAGGAAGACTAGTAGCGCACAAGGCAATCTGCACTGTTATCACTGTGAAGGACGTGGTCCCCAGAAACTTGTGGGAATGGAGTTCCCCTCCTCTGCAGTCATCGATCCTCTGCATCTGTGACATGCACACTGCGCTTCTCTGCTTGCTCTTTCCCTCCAGCCTCTGTGCTAGTTCTGAATCAAAAGTACGCTGGACCACTGTTTTTCTCTTCACTGTTGATTATTGTTGCAGGTTATTTATAATTACTTACAGATTGGACAGTCACAGCAGGAGAAAGAGAAAGAGTGACCACATGGTTGCTGTTTTATAACAGACTCTTATCAGCATTCCACACTTCTGGAAATAACTTGCCTTGGCTGGAGGTTTTGTCTTCTCTAGGTACTGTCTAGAGCAGTGGTTCCCAACGTTTGGTCCTCCAGGTGTTTTGGACTTCAACTCCCAAAAATCTCAGTCAGCTTACCAGCTGTTAGGAACTATGGGAGTTGAAGTCCAAAACACCAGGAGGACCAAACATTGGTAACCAGTGCTCTAGACAGTCACTTGTGCATTTATGACCTGCTAGTTAGTCACATGTCTTAAGGATGTTTTTTTCCTGATGTATATAACTCTACCACTTCTTTAACAAACACTAAGCTTAGATCAAAGGTATTCTGTATTCTCATTGACAGAGAAAAACACAGAGTGGACAAAGACTCCATGCCAAATTCTGGTGGCGGCAAAAGTGCTTGGATTGTGTCTGGGTTCTTAGATACAACTTTTCTCACTTTGTACATACACACCCCTTGTATTTTCCTGAGTGGGCAGGATATCAGCTGCTGAAGAACTGGCTGTAAAAGTGTTTTCTAGCCTGTGATTAGAGACAGCTTTGACTATCACACATTCTACTTAGTGGGAAAGCAAAAAGCAGGCAAAGCTTTCAAGACCCAAGAACTGATTGCAAAAATGCTCTTGCAGTTGAGACCTGGCTCTTTTTTCATCCTTCTTTCTCCTTTACTTGACCTGAGTGAAGTAAGATGGAAGCAAAGTCTTTTCTGCCCATGCTATAGTATTCTGTAATAAGTATGTACACTGATGATATTACAGATCAACTAGTCAATCAGAACTGCTAGTGATAGCCTAACTACTACTAACAAGCTTCCTTATACCATCTATGAAAAAAATCCCAAATCTGCAAGCTGTCTTATTCTATTCTTAAAAATGGAAAAACATAACATTTATTGGACTTTAGAACAAGGTTAACATACAACGTATTACCACAGGTTTTTTTTTCAATTCGGTTACAATACTGTACAATACACTCATTACTTCTTTGAACCAGTCCAATTTATAGCAAAATAAGTATTCATCATTGCAGCTGAGTGTTTTCTTGGGTTGGGTGGGGGGGGGGGGGGTTGACTTGTTTTTTTCCTGCTAAATTGCTTGACCTTATTTGGCTTTGGTCTCTTAGTTAAAAAATGCAGCACATGCAGCTGTGAGTACTGGGAAGAGCGTGGCCAGAAGGATACAATGGTACCAGTGACTCTCACTGTTCCTCATCTCATGCACAGTAATAACAACAGACTATTTTCCTTGAGGAGGAAAAAACAGGAAAAAAGCTTTCAGAATATGCAACTCACCGATTAAATCTTCCGCTGTAATCAATAATGGCTCACTCCATGGTCCACAGCCAGCTGAATTTAGTATGCACACCCTGATCAGAAGGTCTTTTAAGGGATTCCACATAGTTAGATTAGCTCTTGTGTCTTGTACTACCATCTCCCCCTAAAACAGAAAATGGGAAAAGTGAATCAGTATTCAAACATCACTAAATACAGTTTAAAAACAACTATTAATCCTGAAAGTTGTAGTTTTGCAAGGTCTCTAGCCTTCTCTACTAAAGATTGCTACATGTCTCATCAAACTACAAATCCCAAGATACCAAAACATTAAGCCATGACAGTTAAAGTGGTGTCAAATTGTATAAATTCTACAGTATAGAGCAGGCATGGGCAAAATCCGACCCTCCAGATGTTTTGGACTTCAACTTCCAAAACATCTGGAGGGTCGGATTTTGCCCATACCTGGTACACAGGCACCCTACCTATTGATCTGTTTGTTTGCTTGTTGCCCTTTTCTGCAGCATGTGGATCGGCTTCTTTTCTTCAGCCATAGGAACCTGTTTGTTCCTTAACTATACTTCATTCTGCATGCTTCTTTTCACACTGTGGCATACTGTGGTCTGAATTGAAAAGTGTTTTAAATGGCAAAATGGTGTGTGGATTCTTCTATAGACTGTTCTACTTGCAGCTAGCCTTTTGATCCTGTCCAACTTCATATGTCTCATTCCCTCAAAGGTGCTGTTTTGCTTCAGGTGGCAATGAAGACAGGTGCTCATTATGTTTTTTTAACTGATGCCAATCTCGGGCATTATTTTCTGTTCATGTGAACTGTGTTCAAAAAGCTGAGAACACGCTTTTAATTTAGACATAAAATATAAGTAAACGTAAAGATTTTCCCAGACATTAAGTCTAGTCATTTCCAATGATGGGGTTTAGTGCTCATCTCCATTTCTAAGCTGAAGAGCCGGCATTGTCCATAGACACTTCCAAGATCATGTGGCCAGCATGACTGCATGGCGCACCATTACCTTCCCAGATAAGTGGTACTTATTGATCTACTCACATTTGCATGTTTTCGAACTGCTAGGGTGGCAGAAGCTGGGCCTAACCGTGGGAGCTCACCCCTTTCCCTGGATTCAAGTCAGCAAGTTCAGCAGCTCAGTGGTTTCACCCACTGCACCACCCTAGACATAGAATTACTACTGCAAAAACTGTACTCCCTTTAAGAAGAGGAAATTTTCCCCCAGTTGTCAAATACTATATTTATTATTTACCATATATTTAGATGGAACTGCTTTATATCTGCATTGATACTTATTTGTGTAAGGTATATATACTCTTCCTTACCAAGAAGAATTTTAAGGCTGCAAATCAGATGTCTAACAAAATTAACATAGGATAAAATACAGCCATACATAAAATAGAAATCGAATTTTCAATAAGGTTTGATGGCTTTAGGTTTCTATCTAACATTGTTCTATATTCTATATTCTCTACCTCACCCTGAGATTTATGGATGTTGGACAGGTGATAAATCCACAGAAAGAGAGGGGGCAAAAAAATAGAAAAGTTTATTTAAATACTAGCAGAGGGGATGTCCTTATTGCAAAGTTCAAAAGCTTAAGAAATTTCCAGATTTATAAGTCAAGAACATTAGTGATGTTTCCTGGCAGAGCAATTTAGTGTTGGGACACCACAACACAGGATATCTGATCAGCAAACATGACCTGCCTCACTTTCATAGGCAGTGATATCTGAAAAGAGCCTCTTTAGGTTATTGTTGAAAAACAGGTATGTTTGTGCTGGAACAAGCAGATTTTTATGTCTTTATTGCCCACAAAACACTTATGTTTTGCAATTCTGGGAGCAAATATTCACTTGTGATACTACAAGGAACAGGTCCTGTGCAAAACATGATTCTGTGAAAGCAAGTACTCTGTATATTTAGGTCAAAAATGTTGGTTTCTCTGATTCAGAGAATTGGCCAGTATTTATGAATTGTATCTAGCAGATATGTTATTGTACTTACTACACAGAATCATAGAGTTGGAAGAGACCTTGTGGGCCATCCAGTATAACCCCCTGCCAAGAAGCAGGAAAATCGCTTTCAAAGCACTCCTCTGCTTAAAAGCCTCCAAAGAAGGAGCCTCCACCACACTCCGGGGCAGAGAGTTCCACTGCTGAATGGCTCTCACAGTCAGGAAGTTCTTCCTAATGTTCAGGTGGAATCTCCTTTCTTGTAGTTTGAAGCCATTGTCCCACGTCCTAGTCTCAGGGCAGCAGAAAACAAACCTGCTCCCTCTTCCCTGTGACTTCCCCTCACATATTTATACATGGCTATCATGTCTCCTCTTGGCCTTCTCTTCTTCAGGGTAAACATACCCAGCTCTTTAAGCCACTCCTAATAGGGCTTGTTCTCCAGACCCTTGATCATTTTAGTCACTTCCTCTCCGGACATATTCCAGCTTGTCAACATCTCCCTTCAGTTGCAGTGCCCAGAATTGAACACAGTATTCCAGGTGTGGTCTGACCAAGGCAGAATAGAGGGGCAGCATGACTTCCCTGGATCTAGACACTAGACTCCTCTATTTATGGAAGCCAACATCCCATTGGCTTTTTAAGCTGCCGCATGACATTGTTGGTTCATGTTTAACTCGTTGTCCACGAGGACTCCAAGATCTTTTTCACACGTACTGCTGTCGAGCCAGGTGTCCCCCATTCTGAATCTTTGCATTTCATTAACAACCCAAGTTTACTGAAAGGCTGTTCTAGGCAACTAAATTTAAAATTTATTGTTTAAAATCATATTTAGGTGTTTTAACTTATATTTTTAATACAGTAGAGCAGGGGTCCTCAAACTAAGGCCCGGGGGCCGGATGCGGCCCTCCAAGGTCATTTACCCAGCCCTCACTCAGGGTCAACCTAAGTCTGAAATGACTTGAAAGCACACAACAACAACAACAATCCTATCACATCAGCCAAAAGTAGCCCCACACTTCCCATTGAAATAGTAATAAGTTTATATTTGTTAAAATTGTTCTTCATTTTAATTATTGTATAGTGTTTAAGTGTCTTTTGCACTACAAGTAAGATATGTGCAGTGTTCATAGGAATTCATTCATTTTTTTTTCAAATTATAACCCGGCCCTCCAACAATTTGAGGGACTGTGACCTGGCCCTCTGTTTAAAAAGTTTGAGGACTCCTGCAGTAGAGTCTCACTTATCCAACATAAATGGGCCGGCAGAATGTTGGATAAGTGAAAATATTGGATAATAAGGAGGAATTAAGGAAAATCCTATTAAACATCAAATTATGTTATGGTTTTACAAATTACACACCAAAACATCATATTTACAACAAATCAGCAGAAAAAGCAATTCAATACATGGTAAAGTTATGTAGTAATGACTGTATTTACAAATTTAGCACCAAAACATTACAATGTATTGAAACAGCTGTGGATCCTGGCAGGAGGCAGATTGTCCTGGATAATACAGAACATTGGATGAGTGAAGGTTGGATAAGTGAGACTCTACTGTATTTGCATTAAGCCTATTGATGGTAATACAAGTGATTCTTTTAAAGCAATCCTTTCAACTCTGTGCCATCTGCATTTCGGAGCCGGGGGTGGGGAATTCTCCTGTTTTTAATGAACATGTTGAACAGAATCAGTCCCAGAACAGACTGTGGTAAGATAACATATGTCAAACCCTTCTAATGGGATGCAAAATCATTCGTAAGGATTTGTGTTTTATTTTTTCAGCTTTCATTTCAAGGGCTGTGACTCTAGAACCTTTCTTCAACACTAAATCATTTCTCACCCCAGATGAATTTTCATTTCAGAACCTTGGTAATTTGGGATACAGCCCGGGCTATTGCTCAGCAAATCTGGGGCAACAATGAACAATTTCTGACAAACAATGTACGGAGCTTTTTATTGATTCAGAAGACACTGTTAGCCTTTCTCAGCCTTATCCGAAAGGATCAACTGTCCAAGTTGCTCTGATACAGTTTTCACACTTGAGATTAAAAAGCGATTCTCTTGCCATTTGGCCATATGTAAATGCTGTTAGAACTTAAGACACAATGAAAAAAGAGAATTGAATAGAATAGAAAGGAGGAGGAGGAGATGAGAACTCAGATGGATAATGGAAACAATCAGCTATTTTCGTTACACAGAAAGGCACAAATCAGTTCAAGCTTTTTGTCATGTTTAACAATTCTCTTATCTATCTATATAAAAATGCCCTATTCATTTAGAGTGACATCATAACTCAAAACCTGTTGGACGAATTGCTGCCAAATTTGGGTGCAAGACACCTACTAACCCAAGGGGTGACCATCCCTCAAAAAATGATTTTGTCATTTGGGAATTGTAGTTGCTGGGATGTATAGTTCACCTACAATCAAAAAGCATTCTGAACTCCACCAACGATGGAATTGAACCAGACTTGGAACACAGGACTCCCATGACCAATAGAAAACACTAGAAGGGTTTGGTGGGTATTGACCTTGAGTTTGGGAGTTGTAGTTCACCTACATCCAGAGAGCACTGTGGACTCAAACAATGAAGGATCAAGACCAAACTTGGCACCAATACTTCATATGCCCAAATATGAACACAGATGGAGTTTGGGGGAAATAGACCTTGACAGTTGGGAGTTGTAGTTACTGGGATTTATAATTCACCTACAATCACTTCCCACACAGAACCCCCATGACCAATAGAAAACACTTTGTTTTCTGGTAGTCTTTGGCAACCCTTCTGACACCCCCTCACAACCCCCCCGCCAGGGGTCCCAACCCTCAGGTTGAGAAATGCTGCCTTAAGGTCATCCAGCCCAATTCCCTTCACCATAGCAAGAAAACATAATCAAAGCCCTCCTGACAAAGAGCCATCCAGCCATAGATATAGATAGATATACAGTCTATGATTCACGCACACACACGACAGATATAGTATGATAGATTTGATAGGGACCCCTAAAGAAGGACACATGTATGTTGCATGTCCCAGAGTAAGCAAACCAGATAGTCTCTCCATCAACACTGACAAAGAAACAACAAGAAATAGTTTACCCACAAGCATAAAGAAATTACATATATTAGAAACCAACACTTTCTCATTAATTTATTTTCCAGATCACCAGACTGGACCACAGCAATGCGTGGCAGGGGACCACTAGTTGTCATAAGTTGAGACCACTCCTACCTGCATAGATTCGGAAACCATATTTTCATTTAGATTCCAGGAGCAAGCAGAAGAAGTTGGTCCTCTTTCTTACACACTGCTTCTGTATATGACCCTTACTCCAACCCACGAGGGATCTCACTCTGTTACCTGCGTTATGTTATCTTGACTCCATTCCAATCTGTATCCAAGTGCATTGTCCCTAAGCATTTCCTGAACTGCTGGTTCCCATTCCAAAATCAGGCAAGAATCTCTGTGAATAATGTGTACATTTTGTGGAGTGTTATTTGGAGCTGTAATGGAAAAAAGTATATAATTAATATTGTGTTGTTGGAAAATAAAAAGGAGGAGGTGAGGGAAAATTACTCAATGGCATGTCAAGCAATCAGCATAGCAATCAGTTCTCCCATCTGCAATTTCCTTGTTCTAGGAATCTTTGTCTGGCCAAGACATTCTTGTGTTCTTAGCTAGGTAAAGATTCTTATTTGCCTTGCAAGCTGGAAAACTGAAGAATAGCAATCTCAGCTAGGTACTTGTACAAAAACTAGGGACAGCCTCACATTATCTATTTGCTATGAGCAAACAATAAAAAGGAAATAAATGTTTGACTTTTTGAAACTGTCACGTGGGATTACATGTTCCTTGTATTTTCAATTTAATCAGAGGTCCAATAGAGTTCTTCACTTCAAAATTGTCTTTTTCTCTTCCAGAACTGCCTTATTTAATGGAAAACACTTTCCATTGCATTTGGTGTCACACAGTCTGCTAGATTCTTACCTAATCCCAAGGTCTGAAAATAGACCCAGTCTGTAAAAGGGGAGCTTCCCATTTCATTGGTGCACTGAACCCGCACACTATAATTGGTTGAGTGCTTTAAACCCAGCAAAGCCCTACTGAAGGAGGGCACAGGGACAACTTCCGTAACCACTTCCTCTTCTGCCTGGGACTCAGCCACCTGTTGGAAAAGGGAAATAAAAACCAACAAACAGATGAACACACAAACCAAATGCACTTTGATGGATTTAAAATTAAATGACTATTTTTTATTTTAATGGAAATGTTGTTGGAAGTTGCATTCCCATATATAAGTAGTATATTGAATAGTATATACCATTCATAGTGCTGGCTTTAACCTATAAAACCCTAAACGGTTCCGGCCCAGCTTACCTGTCCGAACGTATCTCCCTCTATGACCCATCTCAAAGGTTAAGATCATCTGGGGAAACACTGCTTTCGGTCCCACCCCCCTTGCAAGTGCTACTGGTAGGGATGAGAGACAGGGCCTTCTCAGTGGTGGCTCCTCGACTATGGAACTCCCTCCCCAATGAAATTAGATCAGTCCCCTCTTCAGTTTTTACTTCAGAAAAAAAGTAAAAACTTGGCTATGAGTCCAAGCCTTTGGGCAGTAGGAATACAAGGAATGATCAGTAGGTATGTCGAATTGATATTTGGAACAGGCTTGGATCATGATTTCTGGATTATGTAATTTTAACATTTATATTAATATGTTTTAAACTCCACATTTTAATGTTTAAATGTTGTAGGTGTTTATGATCTAATCAATAGTTATATGTTATTGTTGTTTTATGTTAGGTTTCATAATAAATAGTTGTAAAATATCTTGATATACTCATGGACTAATTTTTACAAAGGATTTTCTAAAGCAAGCAGAATACTTTCAGAAATACATTTTAGTTGGATAACACTAGTCAGAGTGGCCATAACCTTTTTATCATATCTTGAAAGCCCAGGAATTTGGAGTAAGAGTTATTCACTACGTATAAAAAAACCTATTCCACCAAATACAAACTTTCCACAGAATGAAAGCAATTCTGCTGAGGAACATGAACATAATTCCTTGCTCTATGCAATTAACCAATTTTATTTTTTCCCCTTCTTTTTTATTGTTGCCAAAAAGATTCAGTTAGAGACACCAAAATCGCATAAAAAACAATAACCCATATCTGTCCAACAATTTTAGGCAAACTTTGGAATTTGCTCATGATAAAAAATATTGCTAAAACGAAAATAATAGGGAGGATAATATATTATATTTGAGTGATAGCACTCTTTCATGTCCTTCACTGAAAACAAATCAAATCGTCAATAAAAGCCTTAGTGACTAAATGCTATCTACATCTGTTAAGGAACACATCTTTGCTTACTACAATGTTTAACTTGCTGTAAGGCAATACTCCTCCCTTCCTGCATTATTATCACTTTTGTTTATTTAATAACTACAAGTCATTGCTATGTACTTTGAGGGCGGGGTGCAACTGTGGTTTTGAATGATATCTATTTTATTTAGTTGTATTTTTGCATATTTGAATGCTTTAGAAAGGACTAAATACAAAATTGGATGCTTCTTGCTGCTTTATCATTTGTCACACATTTGCTCACTTAGGTTCAAGGACAATCTTATCAAATTTTTAAAACTGTTGTTTAACAAAGTTGAAAATGCTAGGATGGCATTATTTTTCCTATTTGGTATGAACATTAATTTTGTTTCTTTAGTCAGAGAGATTCCATCAGTTTGTAAAGTGCTACAAGTCTACAAGACCATGAACAGAGACCACATTTCACTTTCAACCTTTGAAAAGGGGCTGTTTGTCTCCAGGCATAAAGGAATGATAAACATTCAAACTCTGGTAGCTACTAGTGGCATGTGAGGCCTGCTGTGCAGAAATATGGGTCAACAGAACAATGGTGCTTGAAAATAGCAATCAGAATACTGAGAAACCAAAACGCTGTGATTCTCAGGTCAAGTGTTCTTTAATGAAATAATGTTATTATGCAACACGTGGTCCGAAATTTTAGTTTGTTTGCCCTAGACTAGGATAAAAAAAGGCTGTATAACCTGTGAAAAATAGAACACTCAAACAGAGTGGCCTCTGGATTGATCTCACTGCGTTTTCCCCTTCAGTTCATTGACTGGGGAAAAAAGAGGTTGTGGGAAGAGTTTGGACCTTAGACAGATTAGCATTGTATGGTGACGGGCGGACGTGCAGACCAGGAAGAATAGGCTGTACAAAGCTCGGCATTCCACTATGCAGAAGGAAATTCATTCCCGTCTGTCAAGGGTTCCAGGAGTAGAAACATGAAAGAAGGATAAAGCTGCTGAATGGGGAAAGTCATGATAAACGTTAACATCTCAAGGAGTTCATTTATTTTATGGAAGAAATAGCCAAGAGCCTCTCCTGCATCTTCACCAAAACAGAAGTAGGAACACTGCAGCATTAGGAGGGTTTTTAAAATAGCAGAACTAGACTTCCAATAAGTTGCCTTGAATGTAACTAGGATTAAAAACAAGTCATGTCCTTCTGATACACTTTGCTTTAAAGATCTATTAAGGTTTGTGTGACTGCTGCTGTGCCATTAAAAACTGATACATGCTGGTAAATTCTGCCACAGTGGTGGGTCCTACAACATTCAGAAATATAGGCACATGATATTCCCAAGTGAAGGTCCACTATTTTATATTGTCACAGCATTGGCCAAGTATAAGCTCAAACTGTTGTTGTTATTTATTCATTCAGTCACTTCCGACTCTGTGTGACCTCCTGAAACAAGCCCACGCCAGAGCTCCCTGTCAGCCATCACCACCCCCAGCTCCTTCAAGGTCAAGCCAATCACTTCAAGGATAGCATCCAACCATCTTGTCCTTGGTCTTCCTTCTTCTTTCCATTTTCCCCAATATCATTATGTTCACCAAGCTTTCCTTTCTTCTGATTATGTGGCCAAAATACTTCATCTTTGCCTCTAATATCCTTCCCTCCAATGAGCAGTTGGGCATTATTTCCTGGAGCATGGACTGGTTGGATCTTCTTGCAGTCCAAGGCACTCTCAGAACTTTCCTCCAACACCACAGTTCAAAAGCGTCTATCTTCCTTCGCTCAGCCTTCCCTAAGGTCCAGCTCTCACGTCCATAGGTTACTACGGGGAATACCATTGCCACTAGACCCACAGAAGTCGACCATCTGTTGTTTTATACATTAACAGTCCAAACCAGAACTTTACAGTGGGGCTGGTGCAGTATAGGTGTCATATGCCCCGATCATTCTACTGACACAATACTCTAATAGATCTACTCTGCACTGATTCAAATGTCTATATTGTCTTCAAAGTTTGAGCCATGCAAGAAATATTAAGAGTAGTGCAGCTTGAATATAACTAGGCTCAGTACATGGGTAACTTAGATAAAGCCACTTCCTAGGTCTGTACCTATGCAAGTCAAATTCACTCAAGCCCGCTACTGCCATCCCAATTAATTTTCACACTAGGCATCATAGCAACCCTATCTAAGATTTCCCCAACCCCCCCCCCCCCCCAAATTTCCCTACCAAAAAAGCTGCCTGATTATGTATACTGGGGCTTACTGGAACAGTAGTTCAAAGCATCTGGAAAGTACTAGGTTGCTTTCCAAATTGTTTGATTTAACTATATACGGTAGCACTAAGATATATATGTGTGTGTTACAAACCTGTACAGTACAAGAAAGAAGTGGCGAAAGCCCATCAAATCCTGGTAACCAAATTACATTGGCATTGTTACTGGTGATCTGAGTTACTGTCACATTGAGAGGTGGGAAGGGGAGAACTGAAATAGAAGGATGGAAACTGTTTAGCATATGCACAAATGAGAAGGTATTTATACAAAACTGAGAAGACGTTATAATGGGGAAAACCAGATTAGATCCCTGAGGGCTGTTAATTTTGTAAATAGAAGCGATTTACTCATGACATCCAGAATCCAAATTAACATTTAATAACTTGTTCTTTTTATTCAGAATATGGATAAACAAATACAGAAAACACAGAAAAATTGTTAGAAACATTCAAAAAATTCTGCTACAATTTATGAGATGCTATTTGAAGTTTCTTAAACTTTTAAATGATGTCATATCTCTTTTTATGGCGCGACTTACATAGAAGCATTAACTTCAGTTTATTCCCATTTATTTAAACATTGGAACAATAAAGGCTTTGCTGTGAGTTTTCCAAGCTGTATGGCCATGTTCCAGAAGCATTATCTCCTGATGTTTCATGCACATCTATGGCAGGCATCCTCAGAGATTGTGAGGTTTTCAAAACAACAGTGAATTTGGAAAAGTTTGCTCTGATTTAATATAATAAACTCATGGGAAATAAGAATCCCAAATAGCTCTAACATTTTATTGTCATTTCAGTGTAACAACCATTAATTAAAAAGGGAATACTTCATAAAGTCAGTGTGTGATGAAAGGGCAAATTTCAAATGAAATGAAGTCATAGTTTGGCTGTATCTCATAATAAAACAACATGCTTGAAAGACATCAAAAAACACAAGGTACGGCCAAAACACCTTTGATGATGCATTATTGAGCGATAGCCATCATGGTGTAGTGGTTTGATTGCTTGACTAAGGCTATGGGATACCAGAGTTTTTATCTCAACCCAATCAGGAAACTTCATTATGTGGTCTTCAGCAAATAACAAATTGTCAATGTATCATCGAAGGCTTTCATGGCCAGAATCCCAGGGTTGTTGTGAGTTCTCTGGGCTGTGTGGCCATGTTCCAGAAGCATTCTCCAGTATTTAAAAAAACCTCTAAAATCATAACAGTAAATAAAGAACAACTGGGGAATTCCAGACAAGCAATAACCAGGGCCAGCTAATCACCTTCCAACAAAGGATTCCCCCAAACAGTAAGAACGCAGACTTTGAAACTGCTAGGCCATTAAATGCTAATCAAGGTGAATAATTGAAATATTCACACCTACTTCAAACAGACAAGAGTTCTTTCTCCCACCCTGGACATTCCAAAGATACATAAACTCAATTTTTCCTAGTTTCCAACAGATCTCACAACCTCTGAGGATGCCTGCCAAAGATGCAGGCGAAACGTCAGGTGAGAATGCTTCTGGAACATGGCCATATAGCCCAGAAAACTCACAACAACACAACAATCTGTCAGTTTTAATGGCAATGGCAAAACCCCTCTTGTCAAGTAAAGTCTATGGTAGGGTCACCATAATTTGGAGTTGAAGACACACAAATAACAGCGATACTGTCAAAATAAAAATGTGTGAATTTATGGGGGTGGTGAAGGGGGTAGCTATAGATCATCGCTGAACTCAAAGTATATTTGTGTAGAGCTTCTACAGAGATTCGGCTGCTGCTCTTCTATGTTGGACACACTGGATTTGCACATCGGAAGGAAAAAAAACCCCAATTTTCTATTTATGAACTACACAAAATGTATTGTCTTTTTATTTATTTTTTATTAGTATTCATGCTGTTATTTCAGACATTTTGCTTTCACCTTCTGCTGGCTCACTTTCTGATAATTTACTCCAGTTCTTCTCCCTCCATATGTTTTCTCCCATCCTGCCCTTTAACTACTCTCATCATCTCCTGCTCCTACTCTTGGCTCAGAAACTCCATTCATGCTCTCACTGACTCTGGGAGCTATCTTCTACTGCCTGCCTAGCAAAGCTATCCAGAAAAGACTACAAAAAACACGACAGAATTTTGTCTTTTGAATTCTGTCGTGTTTTGAAACCTCGTTTGTTCATATTTTAAATTGTCAGAACATACAAAAGTGGCAAAAATAGACCAGTGGTCTGCTGACATAAGCCCACTTCAAGTACCCTATTTATTCACCAGGTCGGGTCATACAAAGAGTGATATGGAGACAGACATTATGAACTGTGCATGTCCTTTCTCAATAAGATGATCAGCTAAAAAAACCTGTCACTGTCACTGAAACTACCTCAGCAATCTTGAGGCTTATTATGGCCACCAAATTTGGCACAGATGATGGATTCTTCTGGAGATCACATTCATGAAGGTGGCTTACTACCAGGCACCTAATCTAACCTACTGAAACTGGCCTCAAACCAGGGCCTCCAAAGCAGCCAGCATTTGGTATGCTAAAAATGCAATGGATTTTGATCCTGCTAGTTTACCTAAACTCTGTAATGCAGAGGCACTTTCTAAGCTGCTGTATTGACCTGATTTGTGTCAGATCCTGTGCCTAACTAATGGCACAGGACCAAAGATTATTGTTCTCCACCACTGGCAAAGCAAGTCATTGCAGTCACTTTGCAGCCTCTCACTCTTGCCTTGTACCTTCCCCATCACACCTCTCCGATCTGGTGCTTGACCTCCCAATTTTTTCATTATTGTCTTTGGTCATGCAGTCATGATCTTACTGGACTCATCCATAGTGAGAGTCAATGGGAGCATTGAAACTGCAGAATTAATACAGTCTGACATCACTTTAACAACCTTGGCTTAATGCTATGTAATCCTGGGATCTGTAATTTGGTGAGGCACCAGTACTCATTGGCAGAGATAGTTAAAGGCATTTAAAAACTACTGTATATACTTGAGTATAAGCCGACCCGAATATAAGTTAAAGCACCTATACAGAAAGTAAAGACTTTCTCTATATATTTCAGATTTCAATATTAATGTCAAAAATATGTAGTATGATTTTACATAGGATTTGTGCCACATTAGAACAGTAAAGACAAATATCACTTAAGTAAAATAAATATTAAATATTAAATAACCAGAAAAACAAAATAAGGGGTAAACACTAAACTAATCTGGGAATCTGCTATTGCAACAAAAAACTGGGAAAACTTACTGACTCAAGAATAATCCTAGGGTGGGAAATGCAGCAGCTACTGGTAAATCACAAAAAAACAACAATGTACTCAAGAATTACTTGTGTTTTGCATGCTAGAAAATGCAACCAATCAAATTTGGTAGCAATTTTCCCTAGAAGAAAGAACAGATGAACTCCTTGTGGTCAGCAGTTTATTGGGATAGCAAGAATACGATATCAACACTGTAAAATAAGAATTCATAATTGCATACTTTAATGGAAGGTTTGCGGGCTGTAAAGCACATAAGTCTATTCCATTCTTTATGTATAATCACTTGAAATGTTGATTAGTCTACTCCTCTTCACCAGCTAAAGAGAGACTAGTGCATAGGAGGAAAAGAGGTGGTTGGGGGAGGTTTTCTGGCTTTAACAAAATCCTCATTTAGTCACTGCAGAATTCATCATTGGCCACCTTCCACAAACAACTCAGATACATGTTTCAAGGAAAATCTCTTATCTTTTGCCACATTCCCTTCTTGAGCCACTTGTGGGTTTTTTTCTCATCCCCAATGTCGCTGCAGGGAAATGGGCACGCATACCAAACACTGAGCACAGTATATTATTTCGGTTGCTGTGAGCATGAAGCAAGCACTGTTGGAAAGCAGCTCAGAAGTTCTGCATGTGTGTTGGAGCGGGGGAGAAGGAGAAAAACATACACTATTTTAGCTTAGCTCTTCCTTGCTTTCTGCGTGCCTCCCACATGTCAGTGCACCTTCCTCCTCCACATGTTTCCTTCTCGGAAAGACAGGAAAGATGTTCTCACCTTTAATGTGCACAGTAGCTGTCCGAGATGAAGACAGTCCTCTTATGTTGTGGGCTTCGCAGGAGAAAACTGTGCTTTGATTGATACCTGGAGACAAGCCAAGAAAAAAAGGGAAGTTTTGAAGGAGAGAGGAGCACACAAACCTGCTATGTACCCCCCTCCCTTCAACTTCAAGCAGAATTTCAATTATGCTTGACACAGAGTTCAGAGTCTATATATGCAACTTTGGGGGCTGAAATGGAAGCGGATCAAAATCACGAGGATTTGTATGTAATTAACAAGTCAATTGATTTTCTTTTTATAAAACAGGAAGAATGTTGGCACAGAGAAGTTCATGGCAAGGCTCACTCTGCAATATATGAAACAGGAGATGGGGGAGGACTGTGTGATACAGGCACAAAGAGTGTTTGGGTCTTAGCACTCTCATTGTTGTGTTCTCTCAGCTGTCCTTGGCTGGACTTGCCACCATTGTTTGTGGCATTCATGTCAAGGCTTGTGTACACTCTTTTAGTGCATTTGTGCAATGCTTGCAACAATGGGGCTACAGCCCTGACTAGGATTTACAGCCATTGCTAAATTAAATAAACTTGTGGCTTTTAAAAAGAAGTCAACAGGCCTCTCTATGTCCAGAAAATAATTATAATTTTTATTTATTTATTGTGTCAGAAGCTAGTTGAGGGTACGTTTAAAATGCGTTTAAAAACACAAACAAAGTTTTAAAAACTTGGCATTATGCTAAATGTCCTTTGACCAGAAGTGGAGTCCATGACATGTGAGTGTGAAGAAGAGCAAACCACAGACCACCTACTACAATGCAACCTGAACCCTGCCACATGCACAATGGAAGACCTTCTCACAACAACACCGGAGGACTCCAAGTGGCCAGTTTCTGGTCAAAGGTAATGATAAATGAATTTGTAGCTGTTTGATTAATAAATATAATATTTTGGAAAACTGAACTATAACTTGATGATGTGTGTGAATACTAAATCAGTGCCTTTGACTCAGTTGTAGTAAGTGTTCCCTGTAAGCACCTACACACAGAACAGGAGAGAAGATTTTATCAAAAGCAGGCTAATAGTGCACTCAAGGAAAGGACTCATCACCAACACTTAACAAATCCCCACTGAAGCCTTACAACCTATGTTGGAGAAAGTGTATTGGAAAAAGTGTGTATCATAACGTGCAATGATTGGCCTAAGTGTCTGAGTACATGCAATGGTTTTCTGATTATTGACATGGCCAACAAAAGAAGCAGGACTAGAACTTTCCAGCAGCATTACTTTTCCATCATCAGTCTTTGCCAAAACTGGCAGTTACTTTGGTATCATACCCTAGAATGCCTTCCTAGTGAGATTAGTTTGGCCTCCTCCCTCCTGGTATTCAGGAAACAAGTTAAAACCTGGCTGTTCAAACAGGCCTTCAGCGAGTGACGGAAATGCAGTTTAACATCCTATCATGACACAGGTAGAAATGAAGCATCTGAATTATGATTAAGGAAATGGTGCAATGCGTTATTTGTGTTGGGGGTTTATTATGTTTTAATATGTTTAAGGGGTTTAAATGTGTATTTATATTTCTATTAATTTCAGTGATTTTATATTGTTTTATTTGTTTATTTATAATAAGGCATTGATTTTTGCCTAGATGTATGATGTACACTCTGAGTCTCTCATGGGTTGAGAAGAGTGGCATAAAAATGAAGTAAATAAATAAATAATAGAATCAGATTCCTCCATGCTGTCGATTCCCTCAACTGTTAAGTCTCCTGCTGGCTGGATAAAGAATATACTAGATAAGAAACAGAGTACTCTCAGCCCTCTGCATTGGTGGTGTTAGGGGCACAAAACTCCTATGAAAGTGACAAACTGCAAATAAATTGCTATTTTAATACCTATAATATGCATAATAGTTGTGTGAGTTTAAATACTTCCTTGCTATAATTTCAGAAATAAGTTCTGAGAGAACACCTCTATAGGCTTTTTTGGGTTTTCCAGTACAATTCTATAACACTGTCCAATACACATTTTGGTGCCTCAAATGTTAATCTCATTTCTGGGTATATTTGACCTGCCGATTCCAAAAATGGTACCAGTTTCCCCCCATCAGTTCTTGTTTTTGAGATACTGAACGTATGCAAGATACCAGTTGCCCATCTTTTCATCCATAGAAAACCATGATAAACATATCTAAGGAACTAGAGCTGATGTGGTCTATCCAATGCAATTTTCTGAATTGACACCCCAAGTATCTCAGGAACAGGTCTAAAACTAAAACACCACAATATTTTTTTGTTGGGTTGTGAAATCAATCTCTGATGGAAGTTGGCCATGGAATCACACTGGAGAACCTAGACCACATCAGAGAACCCAGACGTTTCCTTATCCCATTGTCCTGTTAAGATATGGGGGCTTCTAAGTGTAGGTGATAGCTTCTAAGTCAGTGGTGTTCAACCTGTGAGTCCCCAGGTGTCTTGCCTTACAACCGCCAGAAATCCCAGCCAGTTTACCAGGAGTTGAAGGCCAAAACATCTGGGGACCCACAGGTTGAGAACCACTGACCTAGACATTCACAGAAAGATGTCTTCTTAGAAATGTTTATGTCTCACAACATGCCTAGAGGAAAGTGACTATAGACTAGAGGGTCTAGATTTTCTTATAGAGAGCATTTTTAATCAAGTCCATGAATAATCAAATCAAATCAAAACTGCAAATGTGGAGGGATAACTGTACTTTATCAGCTCCACCAACAAAATGCTCAAGACATTTGGCTTCTTAGTCCAGAATCTGGAGTGTTCTTGAAACACAAGTTGAGCAATATCTTTTAATATACTGGAACTTCTAATCAACCTTGAAATACCAGACCTTCTTCCAAACAAAGCAGTGGTAACAAGTAACCCTCATGTGGGGCTTCTGATAAGCAGCAATTTGCCAGGGCATTAGTATAGTTATTTATGATAGGATTAAATAAGATTGTGAAGGCTACTTGACCAGAAGAAGTATGCTTATCAAAATGTTTACTTTGCCCTTTAGCACACAGTGATAAGGGAAGAGGCCTCTGGCTATAGCTTAATGAGTGATTTCCTCCTCAGTCAGCATTACCGACATTCTGCTCACAGGAAGTAGAAAGCTATTGTTTGCTGAAAGAGGTAGGTTCTTTCAAAATGGGCTCAGCCCTACTAAACTTGGAATAATTTGAATATGTATTTTTTTCCAGGTAACCACTTGTAATTTTGTTTGGAAAATGATAAAAACAACTACCAAAAATACAATTATCTAAAATAAGTTGGATGTGTTTACTGAAAGAAACTTAGGAAATTTTTCTCATATTTCAAAATATAACTCTAACTAGAGCAGATAACTTAATCAATACAATATATACAAACCAGTCCATACTTCAGGAAATAAAGCCCGACTGCTCACTGGAGAGAAGGCTATTAGAGGCAAAGATGAAGTACTTTGGCAACATAATAATGAGACAGGAAAGCTTAGAGAAGACAATGATGCTGGGGAAAATGGAGGGAAAAAGGAAAAGGGGCTGACCAAGGGCAAGTTGGATGGATGGTATCCTTGAAGTGATTGGCTTGACTCTGAAGGAGCTGAGGGTGGCCACAGCCGAATGGGAGCTCTGGCGTGGGCTGGTCCATGAGGTCACGAAGAGTTGGAAGCGAATGAACAAATAAGCAACACCACAATATATACTTTGGTTGTATCTATACTGTAGAATTAATGCAGTTTGACATCACCATGGTTGAATGCTATGGAATTATGGAAGACGTAATTTGGTGAGGCACCAGCACTCTTTGGAAGTGAAGGCTAAAGACCTTGTAAAATCACAACTACCACGATCCTTGTCTAGACTTTAGCTTGCTCCACAATAAACTAAAATTCAAAACTGTAGCCGAGCCTGTATTGATACACTGTTAAAGGTTTGTGTAGTTTTCAATTGAATATGCAGATGGTTAGAAAGAGCGGATAATAAAAAGCTGAGCAGAAAGTTGACAACAAGATACATTTGAAAACTTTCTCATGGAATAATAATAAGTTGTTGAAGGTTTTCATGGCCAAAATCACTGGGTTGCTGTGAGGTTTCTGGGCTGTATGACCGTGTTCCAGAAGCATTATCTCCTGACATTTCGCCCACATCTATGGCAGGCATCCTCAGAGGGACCTTCTTGCAGCAACGCCAGAAGCACTCCAAGTGGCCAGCTACTGGTCAAAGGACATTTAATCAACTACCAAACTCACAAATTTTATATTTTGCCTGTTTGTTTGTTTTGTTCTGTTAGAAATGTGATACAATTGACTGGTTGCCCTGACACGACAAATAAATAAAATAACACATAATAATCTTAAACCACACAGTAAAATACATATATTAAAACATATTTCCATGGAATACATATTAAAACGGTCTGGGTAGGACTGCCAGAAGAAATAGGTCTTCACTTGTACCTTAAATTCTGACAAGAGTGATATATTTAACTGGCAACATATAAAAATATTGGTACTGTTATTGCTTTTTCAAAAAACTGTGATAATGCTGAATGTATTTTCAAGGTGCAAGCAAAAAAATCCAGAAAAGAAGCAATCTACTTTCTGAATGTGAAGAAGCTGACTTCCTACAATTTTGGATGCACCTCATTTTTCCCTGCTTACTGTTATATTTTCTGAGCATTTTGATACTCTCCTGCTGAAGGCAGCTATTTTTTTTTAAAAAAAAGTATTATGTGTCATATTCTTGTTTGATCAGGAAAAGATCCCCAGGAAAAGCATACATGGGCTCACCCTCTTCTCTTCAGATACACGAATCAATGTGCAAAGCCAAGGGAACACTAGAGAGAGAATGTGGGAAACAGATTCCAGCACAAGGAATTTTAATCCTTCTCAGAATTTGAGCAAAATAGCCATGAAATAAAGCACAGACTGCTCAGAGCTTTCTAGCTATGTGCACCTCAGTTTGGAAAGTCTTGGTCATATGTGAATCCTGTTTGGCAGTCTGCAAAGCTACCAATTTTAATTTTGTTTAGGATACAAACAGACAGAAACCTTTGCTAGGAAACCACTTGTTCCTCCTACAACCCAAATCCTGATTCTTCCACGGAAAAACTTTTTCCTCTCCTTTGTAACACCGGAGTTGATTTCAGAAGAGAGGGTAATTACTCCCTCCTCTTCTGAACTCAATTCCAGTGTTACAAAGGAGAATTAGTTGCTGGCTGTGCAGCTCAGCAACATCAGTTCTAAACACATTTTGGCCCGTCTCTAGTACCATCCTACACACAAACAAGGCTACAACTACATTTTCTTGTATTCTTTTATTTTAAAAACACTTTTCAGTAGATACTTCTGAGGCCCCTTCCACACAGCTGAATAAAATCCCACATTATCTGCTTTGAACTGGAATATATGGCAGTGTCGACTCAGATACCCCAGCTCAAAACAGATATTGTGGGATTTTCTGCCTTGATATTCTGGGTTATATGGCTGTGTGGAAGGGCGCATAGTTCCGTGGAAATACCGGAGAGATATATCTATCTTCAGTGACTGTATACTGAGTGCTATGCTTACTTTTTGGCATTATAGCACATTTGAGACAGAGTCTCAGATAACATCAGCAGTATGCAACCTTTTCCTTAACAGTAGGCCTTCCTGGTGTTTTTATGTTTCGTATGAGGAAGCCTTACCTGACACGTTTAAGGTGGAGGGAGAGACATCTGAAGGCCCTATTCTGGAATCACCCATCCACCAGACAATTGTAACTGGTTCAGGAGGGCCAGCAGCAGCACAGACCATATGAAAAGGTGTATTCGGGACGACAGACAAATCTTCGGGCTCAACAGTGAAGTAAGGAACACCTATAAGAACAAAGTATAACCTTAACAGCGGGAAAGTGTTCATTGCAACCATCTGGAGATTTTACTTCTTTTATAATCGTTTCATATTGTACAGAAGGCTGGTTGCCAGGGCTCTCAAAAACATATCAAGACTTGTATCTTATTCATCCTATAGTATATTTATATCTTTTCTCTGGAATGAAAGCACAGGCCAGCTGAGTTAAAGTTTCAGTTACAAAAGTGGGGAATATGATAATATGGAAAATAGAGGGCAGAGGAACAGGAAAGTTTATTTTTATAGATTTCCTGATCAGGGTTCTCTGACTCTTGGAGCCTGACCATTTTTGTGGTCCTCAGGTACATAGGAGAGGAATTTCAAGATGAGAGTGTTGACTTGAAAGAAACACAGAGTATCCCTTTTGTGAAAATCTGAAATGTTCCAAAATTATCCTTATGAGTTGTTACATCTTTGCTTTCTGCTGGTTCAGTGTACAGGAATTCCCTGAGTTACAAATATCTGACTTACAAACAACTCATACTTAAGAACGGGGTGAGGCAACAGGAAGTGAGAGAGATATACTCCTCAGCAGGGAAATTTACTCGTGAAAAAAGTTACCATGGGGAAAAGGGGTCTGGACTGAAATTTTACCACCAATCCTTGTTTCCACAACAAGCTCAGACAGCAAAACCAATGTTACGAGGATGTCAGCTTATGCTATGCAAAAATGTTCTAAAAGGCTGGTGTTATACTTTAAAAATGTACCTGTTCTGACTTACATGCAAATTAAACTTTAAGAACAAACCTATAAAATCTTGTTTGTAACCTGGGGACTGCCTGTATATTCAAACTCTGTTGTTAATGGATTGCTCCTGTTAGCAGCCGATTATTCTTCCAACCTTTTTTAAACAGGCATTTTATGAAATCTTCTCTTATCCCCAAAATTATGATCATTATAAACATAATAATGCTATTAATAATCACTAAATATTTTGGAAAGGGGGAAATGATAGACTTGAAGGCAACAGAGGCCAATGGAGTCTGGATTGTTGGAATATTTCTATACGCATAATGGTATATCTTGTAGGTGGAACCCAAGTCTACACATAAGCATCGAACCCACTATCAAATTAATTCATTTTTGTCTAAAAATGTGGGAGCTTGCATGCTTTCCACACTGTGTGGATCTGCCCTGGGTTATATGGCAGTGTGGAATGGCCCTGAGCAACCCGTATTTGATGTTTAATGTATTGTGCCTGATGACATGACCATGCCCTGCCCTGTGTGATATCACCAAGACCAACCCCTCAGCTGTCCTTAAATCTCAGGTTTTGGCCCTGAAATGGAATATAGGAATACCCAACTAAGGTCCTAATGGACTTTTAAATTCAACAACGCCACTTGAGATAAATGTCTGCCTATATATGTTGTGTGACTATAGCATTGAATGTTTGCCATGTATATGTACATTGTAATCTGCTCTGAGTCCCCTTCAGGGTGAGAAGGGCGAAATATAAATACTGTAAATAAATAAATAATGTCAAAAACATTTTTTTGTTAAAAAATGGGGAACGTGTTTCACATCATTCCTTTACTGTGTACTGTATAAATCTTATGATTAAATGCTTATATGCATTTACTATCTGGTGATATACATATCTATAGATCTGAGAAAAAGCAATACCAATATATTCATTAGTGCTATGGCCCAAGTCCAGGGTTTAAACTCTGAGGTGTTCACTGAGGTTTCTTGCCAAACAAAAGGAGAAGCATCTTTAATCAAGGTCAGCTGGCTGGAGCCAGTTTAAAAAACAGTTCTGGCCCATGGTTTGTGCTGGAAACAACTGCAATTCTGCTTCATATCCTTGAAACCCTGACTTTGGATTGGCTAATCCAAGTTACTTCTTGAAGTTTGGACTAGCTGACTACTCAAATTTAGTACTGTTGACTCTCAAATTTAGTACTGGTTTGACTTCTCTCTTCCAGAAGAGTGCATGTCCTGTATCTCTATTTGATTTACTGTCCTGACTTATATGCACATAAAGCTTGGCAGTACTTCCTCTCTAGCAATGGCTTGGCGAGATACTGAAATTAATTCAGGACAATCAGTGGCATGGATCCTAATATCCCTGTCATAGTTCCTAAGAAATGTTTCCAAAAACAAGATGTGTAACTCTTGAAGACAGTAGCTGTTAATATGAAATGGGACAATTACTACATACTTTTTGGAAACTTTCACCTTGGGGCTTTAGCTGTGTATTAAAAATGCATTCAAAACACTAACCATAAAAATAATTAAATCAACAATGAAAGAATAGAGAAGGAATGCTTGTCCTAATTACTTTTGTAAAATCTGTGGGAAAGAGGACTTTTGCTACATGCTGTGGTAGCAACAGGGTTTTGTTGTGTTTTTTTTTTAAAAAATGATCAGGGTGGAGGCAAGGAATTATTCCATATCTAGAGCTTGAAAAACATAGAAAAATGTTACTATATGTCATATGTCTCCTGAGTCCCCTTCGAAGTGAGAAGGGTGGGGTATAATAAATAAAATAAATAAATGTATTGTCGAAGGCTTTACTATCTGGTGATATACATATCTATAAATAAATTTGCAATGTATACACCATCATGTTTTACAACAATTAAATTTTAAGTGTGTAACATAAAAATAAACTACACTTGTACATGTAAGTATTTTTTTAAGTAACACTATAAATTGCACTACAAAAACAAACTAGAGTTCTTTATGCTTTAAGACCTTTTACCCATGTGTTTACCCTGATGACTTTTGGATGTGGTACTCATTCCCTTTAGCATGACGTTCTCTTCTTGTACTTTTTAAAGTTGGTACTGAATATGAAATTTTGGATTTTATTCTCAACTGAGTCTTGTATCCTACCCAATACATCACATACAGCCTTGCATCACTCTCATTGTGTTTTGCAAAGGATTCTGAATTCCATCTACCAATTTGTGTTCAAGATAACAACTATGGGCATAGCCAAAACCAAACATTTTTATGTGGGGAAACATGCAGCACATTCCTAACCTTAAAATTATAAAAGCTTAAAAGTGCTTAATTTGGGGTGGATTGTGTCTCATAGTGATATTTGCACAGTGACATCACAAGGAAATGAAATTAAGGCTAGTCCTGAGCCCTTTCTAAGCAGGAAGACCTGTCCTTGCTTTCAAGTTCCCTATCCTCTGAGTAATGGTTTCAGTGCACACATCTGTATTTCACCATATATTTCAAGACAGGCAACATGAAGGATGCACATCCCCTTTTGTACAGGTCATGCTGCACTGCTCACTGCTGCAATTTATTTGTCTGGCTGCATCAAAGGTAAACTCGCCTTTTTATTCTGAAATAAACTCCACAGGGAAGATGTGTCTTGCTTTAAAGCAGAATTGTACTACTGGTACTCCAACTCCTTATGCACAAATTCCCTGCATGTCTTGTTTGAAAGGACATTTTGTTCTTCCTTTTGGTGACTGTTGCATTGCCAAATTGTAGTGAAATGATCCCCCTGCGAGATCCCTTTGATCTTTGGGGGAGGCCCTACTCTCACTCCCACCTCTGTGGGGATGAGGGAGAGGGTCTTCTCCATGGTGGCTCCTTGGCTCTGGAACTTGCTCCCCAGGGAGATTAGGCAAGCTCCCACCCTGGCAGCCTTTAGGAAAAGTTTAAAAACTTGGCTTTTCCAGTGTGCTTTTGAGGAATGAATAACCAATCCCCATACCATGCCCGTCCCAGTACAAATTTCTCCTTCTGATGCACTTTATCTCATCCCTCAGTGAAGATTAACCTCATTGTTTATCCCACCTGAGTCTTCCACTAGACACATCATTCTATTTATCTATCTCACCCAGGGGTTTCATAATTTTATCCTTTGCATTTGGCTCAGCTTGCTTTGCTTAATTCTTTCATTTTATATTTTGTGTTATTATGTTATTGTCATTATTTTATTGTATTACTTGTTATTATTTAGTATTTTATTTGATGTTATTGTCTGTTGTATGTATTTTATTTTGCCTTATTATAATTCTTGGGCTTGGCTTCTTGTTAGCCACCCCGAGTCCCTTCGGGGAGATGGTGGCAGAGTATAAATAAAGATGATGATGATGATGATTATTATTATTATTATTGTGGGTATGTGAAGCCTCCACTTGCATTGGAGACTGGAGAAACTGGCCCCCAGCCTTTCTCACCTTGATGTAGTCAATTTATCAGTGTTGTCACAGAATCAAAGGGACTTCATGGGTTATTGAGTTCAATGTCTTGCTCAGTGCAGTATCTCACTGTAAAGCAACCCCTTAATTGTGCCTCCACCACTTGTTGTTTTCTACTTAGGGCTGCTCTTGAAAAATGTATGTAAACTGTATCTAGTGTAGAAAACAGCAACTTGACTTTATGAAGATGCCTCAGAAGAATCACATTTTTGTACATACTGGTTGGGATTCTGGAAATTGTAGATCAAAACGCAAATCCTCTGAATGTTCAAAATATAGTGGCTCTACTTAACCAATTCTTGAATGATGAGTTGTTCTACAAAGTATTATCAGACTGTTGGGGATGAAATTTATAAATGGTTTCATTTAAATCTTTATTTGTTGTTGTTCATTCGTTCAGTCGTCTCCGACTCTTCGTGACCTCATGGACTAGCCCATGCCAGAGCTCCCTGTCGGCCATCACCACCCCCAGCTCCTTCAAGGTCAGTCCAGTCACTTCAAGGATGCCATCCATCCATCTTGCCCTTGGTCGGCCCCTCTTCCTTTTGCCTTCCACTTTCCCCAGCATAATTGTCTTCTCTAGGCTTTGCTGTCTCCTCATGATGTGGCCAAAGTACTTCAACTTTGTCTCTAGTATCCTTCCCTCCAATGAACAGTCAGGCTTTATTTCCTGGAGGATGGACTGGTTGGATCTTCTCGCAGTCCAAGGCACTCTCAGAACTTTTCTCCAACACCACAGTTGAAAAGCATCTATCTTCCTTCGCTCAGCCTTCCCTAAATCTTTATTTACTAA